GAATATCTTTGTAGTTCCTGATTATCTTTTAAAGTCTAGCTTTCACCAATCAACCTAGTTAGAATCTCACTTCTCTATTTACTCACCTCTTTGTGTATAGGTATATACCTTCTACTTTATGTTTATAAAGTTCTGCTTTTTATATTTTAAAGTAGATCTTATTTTACTAAGAATAGATTCTAAGTTGTTTTTTGTTTTTGGTGGCAAACATTGACACATTATTATTGCTTTTCCATAAAGCTACCTTATATCCTGTAACACTGTACTTTAAAAGTACGACCACCACCACTAAATACCTATTAGAATGGCTAAAATCCAAAACACTGACAATGCTAAATGCTGGTGGGAACTCGTTTGTTACTGGTGGAAATGCAAATTAATACAGCCACTTAGAAAGACAGTTGGCAATTTCTTACAAAGCTAAACATAGTCTTACTATACAATCCATCAATCATGGTCCTAGTTATCTACTCAGAAGAGTTAAAAGCTTATATTCATACAAAAAAAAACCTGCGTACAAAATGTTTTTAGCTGTTTTATTTATAATTGCTAAAAATGGAAGTAACCAAGATGTCCTCCAATAAGTTAATGGATAAACAAATGTGATACCCATACGATGGAGCATTGTTCAATGATAAAAAGAAATGAACTATCAAGCCACAAAAAGACATGGAGGAACCTCAAATGCACATTGCTAAATGAAAGCAGCCAATTTGAAAAAGCTATGTGCTATATGATTCCAGCTATGTAACATTCTAGAAAAGGAAAAAGGAAAAAGATCAATAGTTTCCAGGGGCTCTGGGAGAAAGAGGGATAAATAAGTGAAGCACAGGAACTTTTTAGGGGAGTGAAACTATTCTATATGATACTGTAATGATGGATACATGCTAATAATGCATTTATTAAAGTCCATAGGCCTGGACAACACAAAGGATGAATTCTAATGTAAAACTTGGACTTCTAGTTAATATTATTAATGTATCAATATTTATCAACTGTAACAAATGTACCATACAGTGTAAGATGTTAATAGAGGAAACTGTGGGGAAGGGTGTGTATGAGAACTCTACTTTCTGTTCAGTTTCTCTGTAAACATAAAACTGCTCCAAAAATAATTTAAAAAAGCTCACTCTTATTACCTTCACCACTACTTCCTCAAGTCATAGCTGAAGTCTTTACACAAGATGCTCAATGTATTTGAATGACTTCTGGCTACTTCATCTCCTACCACTTTCTTACTCATTATTCCAGCCACATTCACCTTCTTTTGTGTTTTGAACTACTCTCTTGCCTCAGAGGATTTGTGCTTTCTATTCACTCAGCCTGGAACACCCTCCCCATAGATAGTCCCATTGCTTCATCCCCATCCCGTTATTCAGGTCTGTTCTCAAGTGCTGCTTTATCAGGGTCACTTTTCTTGTTTATTTGTTATCAATATCTCTAATTTCTCCTTTCCTCATCACACTCTTACTTTTAGCCTGCATTTTTTATAGCTCTTAATACTTCCTCACCTTGATCATCTATTAATTGGTATATTTTTCCTTATTAAAATATAAGTTTTATGAAGACAGGAGTTTTGTCTCTTTCTTGCCCTATTGTATCCTCAGTCCCTAGAATAGTGTCTAGCACATGGTAGGTGTCTAATAAACATTTGTAGAATGGATAAATGAAGTCAGTGTTCTCTCTGTAGGTAAATCTATGTGGGGAGTCAAATTTAAAGTCAAAAGATTGCTTAGTAAATATGGAACATACATGAGTCTTAAGATGCATATTAATGGCTGATGTCATCAGTATGATAGATAGCATGATGCATTCATTTTCACTAAAAGATACATCTGCTCCACAAATAGGAAACTTCTGTTTATGGGTCAGAGAATGTTCTTCCATGGAGTGTAGGAGAGACTGCTGGTGTTACCTCTTAAATCTCCTTCTTTACCCTTTGAATTAAAAAAAAGTACAAAAACAATTAAAAATCACAAAATACAATGTATAAAATAGAATATGAAGACCATATTTAAACCCAGTCAATGACAAGTCACTGTTAATATCTTGTTTATTATCCATTAGAACCACCATAGATAGACTTTTGTTTTTTTTATTCAGACCATATGTGGTGAAACAAATGTTTAAATGTACTATAGAATTGGACAGAGTATAGAAATAGTAAATAGTGTGAATGTATCCCGTGAACTGTTTAAAGATTTAATATCCTGTCTCTTGCAAATTGTAACATAGGCTCTTTTCCTGGCACAGTATTGTCTAGTGCAGAATTTATTGTATTTTCAGAATTTTCAAATGTTTCTGATTATTTGATTCAAAAACAGGAGCTGGGGCAGTTATGATTGTTATTCTAAAGAGAGAGAACTTTTTTTAATAGTCTATTTTTATTGTATTTTTTTCATTACCATTTATCATCCCTAAACCCTCTTCACCTCCACTCACCCCCTGCCCTGCTACCCCCTGCAATCACTACACTGTTGTCCAGGTCCATGAGTTCTTTTTCTTTTTTGCTCTATCCTGCCACTCCCCCAATTTACCCCCTACCCTGAGAGATCTTAAACTCTTTGTATTTTTAAAACCACACTAAAAATGTTTTGTTAATTGCATTAGGTAGGAAATTCTGGATTAGTTTGGAGAATATTTTAGATTTTCATGGAAAATTTTTATTAAGATAAACTTCCTTGAAGTTTATTAAGTCTTTTTTTATTGGACAGAAGAAAATTGAAAGTTCTTAAGAGAAAATGTTCTTCATGAATCTCTTAAAATTTACGTATGGATTTTAGGGAAAATCTAAAATAATTTTCAAATGTAACTCACAATAATGTATAGAACTTAGTTGTGAGTTTATTATATTTCATGCATTAACAGACCAAATTTACTTTTTATTTTTGTGTGCTGATGCTGATAAAAAATTTAAATCACAGTTCTGAATTTTGGCATTTTCAAAATTTTTAGGAATTTCTAGATTGTGAGAAAGAAGTGTTAGTGTTATTAGATGACACTCTTCCTATGTGTTGATATTCACATGATTTTCTTATTTGCAGAGTCATATTACTAGAGGATAACTTTCTGGAGAGAATATATGATTAGAATAAATGTGTTATGTGGTGATTTATGCAAATCAAAAGGGATTTTTAAAAATCTTAATGATTTTAGAGAGAGGGGAAGGGAGGGAGAAAAAGAGGGAGAGAAACATCGATTGGTTGCTTCCAGTAAGTGACCTGACTAGGGACCAAGTTTGCAACCTAGGCATGTGCCCTGACTGGGAATCGAACCTGCTACCATTTTGGTTTGCAGGATGAAAACCAACCAACCAACTGAGCCACACCAGCCAGGGCAAATCAAAAGGGATTTAATGTAATTTGAGTATAGGTGATTACATTCAACTTTTAAAAAACACTCAGGGTTTTTTTTTTTTTTTTTAGTTTTAATATTAGATAGTCTTAATGCAAGTTATTGTCCTAAGATGTTGCTAATTAATTTGTTTCTGTGTTCAAAAGTGTTCAACTCGCATCCCAAATAGTGAAAAAGCGTACAGATATGTTTGATAACAATGTTTTGTTCTGTTTTAACCTAAGAATTACTGGGTTAGCCAAAAAGTTTAGTTTTCCCTGTATGATTGCTCTAGTAGTGATTAGTTGTCTTTAACTTCATTCGAAACGATTTTGTTAGATTGTATTGTGACAGCTGTCATATTAGCATGCATTTTAAAAAAATCAAAATCAGTGAATTTTTGTGTAACCATTTTAATATTGAAGATGGAAGAAAATAATGCAACATTTTTGACATATTATACTTTATAAAGAAAGGTAAAAATGCAACTGAAATGCAAAAAAAAAAAAACCAGATTTGTGCTGTGCTTGGAAAAGGTGCTGTGACTGATTGAATGTGTCAGAAGTGGTTTGTGAAGTTTCTTGGTACTGTTGACATTCTGGCCAAGTAATTCTCTGCTGTGAGGTTGTCTTATGCATTGGAAGATGTTTAGCAGCACCCCTGTCCTCTACCCACTAGAAGCCAATAGTGGGAGATAGCTGACATACCCAGAATACCCAAATCAATAAAGTTATTGGTGAAAATAAAAAATGTGTCTTTTATTTTACACAAAAAACTAAGCAGACTTTTTGGCTAACCCAATATGATTTGCGTATATTTTCCTCCCTTCTGTGGGTTGCTCTTCAGTCTCTTGATGGTGTCATTTGATACATATAAGTTTTTAATTTTGATGAAATTCAGTTTTTCTATTTTCTCTCTTTTTGCCTGTGTTTATTTGTGGCTTAATAATGTATGCCACACCCATTTTTCAGAGTTCTACGCATTTTATTTGCTCATCTTACTTTTTTCAGCCTTAACTTAAAAAAAAAATTGTGAACGAACAAATATATCTGTTATAAATTTTAAAGTGTTTCAAGACAGAATAACATTAAGAATAACCTGGATTGTCAATACAGCCTTTTCAGTTGGAATGAAAATGAGAAATATTCCTTATTTTTGTACCCTTTTGGAGTACTATTAAATTGAGGAACAGTTTCAATTTACTTATTTATATAAAATCAGAAGATATGTCAATTTGAGAGCCTATATAGTTTGAAATAGAAAGTGACTCTGAAATTGAATCAAAGCCAATATTTTGTTGAATTTTGTTAAATAATTAGTGAGCTCTTGGAATATACAAATGTAAATGTTTGTGGTTGAATTGGTTACTTAAAAATATATATATCATGTTGATTGGTAATCATTTACAGCCAACATTTCAACTTTATCTCGTGTCATATTCTCTTTTTTTGAGATATAATTGAGATACAGCATATTAGTTTCAGGTATAGAACATAATTCAGTATTTGTAAGATGCCACTTTCAAATAACAGTTCTAGATTTTGTGTTTGACTTTAGTTTTTTCAGAAAGAAAGTATAACTATGATACAGAAAATGAAATTTTTTCTTTCAGTGTTATTATATTATTCAATTATTGTTATTAAATTTTTATGTTGGTTAATTCGCAGGTGAATTATGTAACCTCATTACGCTGGATGTAGCTCACAATCAACTTGAACACCTTCCAAAGGAGATTGGAAACTGCACACAGATAACCAACCTTGACTTGCAGCACAATGAACTGCTAGACCTCCCAGATACTATAGGTATGGTATGAGAGGAGAAAGAAGATTTTGATGACTCATTTATAGCTATTTGCACATTAAAAGACTTACTTTTGATCCATTTTGATAATAAGTATTAAAAGGTTAAAATTCAACATTGTCAAAGTAGTAAAACTTCTAAGAGATAATATCTTAAGATCACTATTTCCATTTCCTGGCAAAGAAAATAACTAGGTTTTGGGAAATGAGCTAAATTGGATTATAAAGAAGATAGAATATTAAATCATATGTATATATTCTACTATAGTCTGAGCTTAAATTGCAGAACAGGTGCATTTTCTATTTTTGCTGATTTTAGAATGTTATGTGCTGTTGTATAGGGTGTGATTCCTTCTTTCCTAAAGTAGACTACGCTGAAAAATAAAACCATTACTGTTTGGTTTTAAAAACACAGCCAAAATATAGTTTAAAGTGTGTACATCTATAATACTGAGGGACTGTACAAAATGTCTTGAGGTTCAAAATGTGTTTCAAAGACCTAGCCAAACTGTAAAATGTTGAATTGCACTTACTGTGATATGTTCTGTATTTACAGTCTGGTTAATTTTTCTGAATGCCCAGAAATTTATATGAATAGTAAAGAGAATTTTGAAAAATTTGGACATCTTTTATTTATAGATGTACTATAAGGTTTATAAGGTTACTGTGAGTTTTTTTTTTCCCAGAAAAATTACACCTGTACTTAATTTATGTAATTTCAGTAATGAATATTCATGAAGTTCTATTACTAAATCATGTAAGACTTATGATGATACCTTTCTCCAGAAGGATTTTTGTTTCCATTTTTCAGTACCTAAGGGACCCTTTAATTCATTTATGTTCTAAGGCATGAGATTTTCCTGATCCTCAAGGTGATTCAAAGGCAGGCTGCGGACTAATTTTGGGGCTGTTTTACTTCCAGTTCACCTTTAGTACTAAGTTGCAGCCCTGTAGGGTCCCAGTGGATATTGATTACTGTATTTTGACTCTTGGCAGAAACATGTCCTAGCCTTTCAGTTATATCTTTCAGTTAAGGAAGCACTTGCAGGATAAAATCATCTGCAGTGGTTTTGCTTATTTCTGCGTTCCCAGTGGTTTCTGGCCTGGAAGTTAGTATTTACTTGTTAGCTCTCTGATTTTTGTTTCGGAAGTATTTTTTTTTTTCAATGGGAGGGTTTGCTTGAATTACCCACCTAGTCAACCATTACTTGAAACAAAAGCAATTTTAAGGAATTTTGAATAAGTTATAATAGACTGTCTAAGGCTATATGACAACTATTTATTTACATAAAAGCAATCTGAGACTTCTTTAGGATATAATAGCTAGTCATTAGATCCTGTATCTTCCTGATTCTTGACTAGAGCTCTTTAAATCACATTACTATTTGTAATGGCAGCAAACTAAGTATTGTAATTAACTAGTTGTAATTGATTAAATTTATCTCTGAAAGACAAGATGGTCTACAACACAAAATGAATTTTTCTGTTAATATTCACAGTAATTATTTTACCAAATTTGCTATGTAAATAAAAGAATCAGATTTCTGGTTTTCTAGGGACTGAACAAAATTATTTCTTGTTTTTCTCTCTTTAAAGTCTATTGAAATGGCCAAGATGAACAAAGAGAATTGACCCTAGAAGAAAAAGAGCATAGAAAAGATATATATTATATCTATAAAATGTGATTTGGGTTCTTGGAAAATAATATACTTCTTAGAAAACTTTTGCCAAATGAAATTTAATGAAAATGCTGTGTAATATGAACACATCCAAAGGCCAAAAGAATAATGTGTAAGATAAGTGGAAGAAGTCCCCTAGAATCTAGAACAAAAAGAAAGATACAAAATAAGTGAAAAAAAAATCATGGCAGACAGTACTAGAAGTTGTGGAAAGAGAATAAAGGTAATACAATAAAGAAACAAATAAAATAAAATCTTATAGTATTTCCCTGAACTTTACAAAAAAACCCAGATAACAAGATTAAAATTGCTTACCAAAAGAAATAATGGGAAAAGATACATTCTAGTAAACTTCCTAAAAATTGAATTTACTTGTTTTGAATGAATAGTACATTCACATATAATGTTATAAAACCTCTGTGTAGTTTTAGTTTCAGGGCAATGCTAGCTACATATAATAAACAGGGAAACGTTCCCTTCTCTTCAGATTTTGGAACAATTTGTTTAAAATGGGCATTATTTCATCCTTAATATTTGATAAAATTCATCAGTGAAGCCACTGGGATCAAGATTTTTCTTTATAGAAATGTTTCTATGTATTTTTTTTAGTTGCATTTTTACCTTTTTTTTAAGGTTTTATTTATTTACTTTTAGAGAGTGGGAAAAGGGGAGAAAGAGATGGAGAGAAAAATCAATGTGTGGTTACCTCTCGAGTACCCCCTTCTGGGGAACCTGGCCTGCAACCCAGGCATGTGCCATGACTGGGAATTGAACCAGTGACCCTTTGGTTCACAGGCCCACTCTCAATCCACTGAGCTACACCAGCCAGGGCACCTTTTTACCTTTTTTAAAGTATTTTTTATTGATTATGCTATTACAGTTTCCCAATTTTTCCCCCACTATCCCCCCTCCATCCTGCCCCTCCAACCCTCCAGCATTCCCTCGCCCCTTAGTTCATGTCCATGGGTTGTACATATAAGTTCTTTGAGTCCTCTGTTTCCTATGCCATTTTTATCTTCTCCCCATCTGTTTTATGCCTACTAATTATGCTTCTTCTTCCCTGTACCTTTTCCCCCTATTCCTCCCTTCCTGTTCCTCACTGAAATCCCTCCATGTGATGTCCAGTTCCTCTGATTCTGCTCCTGCTCTGCTTGTTTGGTTAGTTTTTGTTTTCATTGTTTTTCTTTTCTTTTAGGTTCATTTGTTGATAGTTGTGAGTTTGTTGTCATTTTACTGTTCATATTTTTTATCGTCTTTTTCTTGGGTTAGTCCCTTAACATTTCGTATAATAATGGCTTGGTGATGATGAACTCCTTTAACTTGACCTTATCTGGGAATCACTTTATCTGCCCTTCCATTCTAAATGAAAGCTTAGCTGGATAGAGTAATCTTGGATGTAGGTCCTTGCCTTTCATGACTTCAAATACTTCTTTTCAGCCCCTTGCCAGCAAGGTTTCTTTAGAGAAATCAGCTGATAGTCTAATGGGACTCCTTTGTAGGTAACTCTTTCCGTTCCCTTTGCTTCTTTTAGGATTTTCTCTTTGTCTTTAATCTCCGGTAACTTAATGATGATGTGCCTTGGTGTGTTCCTCTTTGGGTCCAACTTCTTTGGGACTCTCTGGGCTTCCTGGAAGTCTGTTTCCTTCGCTAGCTTGGGGAAGTTTTCCTTTTTTATTTGTTGAAATAAGTTTTCAATTTCTTGTTCTTCTGGCACCCCTATAATTCAGATATTGGAACGTTTCAGGTTGTCCCAGAGATTCCTTGGTCTCTTCAATTTTGTGGATTTTTGTTTCTTCATTCTGATATGATTGGATGTTTATTTCTTCCTTTTTTTCCAAATTGTTGCTTTGAGTCCCGGTTTCCTTCCTGTCACTGTTGGTTCCCTGAATATTCTGCTTTATTTCATTTTAGGTATCTTTCATTTTTTGACCAAGCTCAATCAGATCTGTGAGCATTTTGATTACCAGGGCTTCAAATTTTCCATCTAATAGGTTGGCGATCTCTTCCTGGCTTAGTTCTCTTTCTGAGGTTACGCTCAGTTCTTTCATTTGGGCCATATTTCTTTGTCTTGGTGCAGCTGATAGGTTGTAAGGGGCTGGGGCCTTAGGTATTCACCTAGGCAGAGCAACCCTCTTTGTTGCACTGTGGTGCTGCCTGTTGGGGAGGACCTGGAGGGGGAACAGTGCAGCTTGCCTGCTCATTTCCAGTGCACTTTTCAATGAACTCTGGGAGAGTTCAATGAGACGGGGAGAAACTCCCAGGCCAGCAACCCCAGCCATAGCCCACAGCCAGCTCTGAGTCTCAGTTTTCCCCTTAAGTCAGCCCCTCCCGGGAAGCCCCACCCTATATTCACCTGAACAGGTGGTTTTCCTGAGTAGCCCACAGGGTCTGCGCCTTACCGGTCTGATTGCACTGGTTGACTTTTTCTTTAATTCCTTGGTTGTCAGAGTTTCATGTAATTTGGTTTTCTGGTGCTTTTGGTGGTTTATTGATTTTAGATTGGTTGTTATCCTCATTTTGGTTGTGTGAGGAAGTGAAGGGTTTCTACCTATGCCTCCATCTTGGCTGGAACTCCTGTAGAAATGTTTTTTAAAACAATTTTAATTTCTTTAATAGATATAAGACTTTTTGGTTATCACATTTTTGCTTGAGCAAACTTGATTATTTGTATCTTTATGTATAGTAATTAAATAAATATAATGTATCAATAATGTTAATTTAACTTGTCACATTTAATATGTATAAATTATTTATAATAATCCCCTATTATTTTAATATCTATAGAATCTATAGTAATACCTCTTCTCTCATTCCTGATATTGATAACTTATATATTCTTTTTCCCCAATCAGAAGTATATCAGTTTTGTCAGTTCTATCAATTGTATTGATTGTCTCAAAGTGTTATTGTCTCTTGTTTCTCTGATTCTTTTTCATTGATTTCTACTTTGACCTTTATTATTTTCTTTCATTGGCTTGCATTAAGTTTTACTCATTTTCTAGTTTCTTATGAGGGAAGCTTGAGGTCATTGATTTAAGACCTTTCTGCTCATATAGGCATTTAGTGGTATACACTTTCCCCTATGTACTGCTTTAGCAGCATCCCACACATTCTGAGATGATTGGTTTTCCTTTTTGTTTTGTTCAAAATACTTTCTGATTTACCTTTCTGTTTCTTTTGTGATCTGTGGTTTACTTAGAAGTGTGTTATTGCCCTGGCTTGGTGGCTCAGTTGGTTAGGGCATTGTCCCACATGCCAAGGTTGTGGGTTTGATACCCAGTCAGGGCACATGTAGGAATCAACCAATGAATGCATAAATAAGTGGAACAGCAAATTGATGTGTTTTTTTTTTTAAGACAGTACAAACAAACAAAAAAGAAGTGTGCTATTTAGTTCCCAATATCTCACAGTTTTCCAAAGGGTCTTTCTGTTACTGATTTCTGATTTAATTTCATTGTTGAGAACATACTTTGTGTGACTTGAATCATTTAAATTTATTGAGACTTAGTTTATGGCATAGAATATTGTCTATCTTGATTAGTATGCCATGCACAACTGAATGTGCATTCTGCTTTTGTTGAATAGAGTGACATAGATGATGCAATTGGTGAATTAAGTTTTCCACCTGTCCTTTTGTCTCTTTTTCTCCTAATTTTTGTTAGTTACATTGCCAGGACATGTCGTGTTTTGCTTATTAGTTTCTGCTTTTGTTTTAGTCTTAATGTTCATCAACAGTTCTGTCGCCATAGTTGCCTCAGTCATCTCTTCATTGACTAAAGTCAGTCTTGTAGTAGTATTTTCAGAAATGGTTCATGAAAAGTATTTTCCTAGTTCTTGTATGTTTGTAACCTTTATACTTGAAGAACAGTTTGGATGAGTATAAAAATCTTTGGGTCCAGTTTCTTTTCCTTGAGCATCTTAGTGGAGCTAAGAGGTAGTTTTGTTTTCTATAATGTAATGTACAAGAGTATGAGGCCAGTCTAGTTTTTTCCCTTTACCAGTGATTTAATCTTTTTGCCCCACCACCCCAAAGGATTATTTCTTTATTTCTGAAGTTCAAGAACTCTAATGTATTTCTCAGTGTTGTTCTTTCAGGTTCCATTTCCCTGAGATATTCTGAGCAAATTCAACATATAGGTTTAATTTTTATTTCAGTAATGTTTTCTGGAATTACATATTGACATACTTAGTTTTTGTACTGTATGTTCTTATATTAAGATATATGTCTGTAAGTTTGTTTTGAACAACCAACTACATTGGAATAGTAAAGGAGAAAAGAATCTTATGCAGTCTTACCGTGATCACTTTTCAGTGGAATGTCACATAAAAGCACATTTTAAAAGCAACTTCTTTTATAAAATTAAAGTCTTGCCCAGTATTAAAAAGAAAAATAAAGATTGTTTACTGCAAATCAGACAGTGGAACCAAAATTAAAGATGCTTGAAATATTATCATTTTCTTCTTATCCTTCTCATTGATGCCTAGTGACTGGGTATTTCTTAGGATATTATAGATGCTACTTTGTTGTTCTCTGAGAGTATCATGCAAGTTCTAGCCTAAGGGCCTTTGTACCTTTTGATTGCTCTGCTTAGAGCTCTTTTCTCTTAAATGTCCACATAACTTCCTCTATTCTTTCAACAGACGAAATGGATATATAGGTCATGATCATCAATCAGCTCTTCTCTTACTCTCAAATAGTCTGACAAATTTTATTATTTAATATTTTATGAGGGTTTTTATTCCTATCTTCATAAATAAAAATCAAAGGACGATACAATTAAAGTACTAAAGTGAATAGGCCTGGCAAACAGAGAAAGCATAGGTGGTAGTGGATGATAAAATGTTCCAGTTAGCAGGACTAGGGTCCTTTAGATTCACTTCCTCTGACAAAGGGTAATAATGTCTCCACGTATCCTTCTTTCTCTTGGTTTTTAAATTTTGTGTTTCTGTGTTCTCTCCGAAGTAATTGTTCTTCTGTATTTTAAGTGTATTTATTAGAATGAAAACATTTTACTTCACTATTAATTTCTTATAGTTAAGATGTTATATCAAAATATTACAAGTACCTCACTTCTGGCACATTCTACATGGTCAGATTACAACTATGTATTGGAAATCCATGAACTGAAACATTTAACAGTAAGACAAATTTTAGTATTTCATTTTTTATATACTTTGATAGTTCTTAGCATATAGAATATTGCTATTCTAAGTATAGTGGCAAAATGAATAAGTAATACTTACTGAAATTTTTTATATCATCATTTATCACATACCATACTTATTGAAATAATTACCTTTCTCCATCCCTCTTATTCTCAGTACTTTGATTGTATAGCAGAAGGGTGAGATTTGGTGAGAAATTTGAATATTTGGGCTTTGGTCTGTTACAGATCTCAACAGTCTTAATTGACCTCCGAGATTTTCCTTTCATTTACTGGAGAAGCACAATTCACCTAAAATAGTGGCAAACTAATTAGAATATAGTTTTCCTGACACTTTTCCTCTTTTTCTTAGTCTGCTTCTTAAAAAGTGTAACTTAAAATGAAAAACAAGCAAAAAACCAACACCTATCCCAGAGAGATGGTGCCAGTCCTGCAGCAGCTGCCCTACTCTCTCTTCTCTGGACTCAAGAAATAGCCCTAAACTCACAGTCGAAAATCAGATCTTCTAACTACCATCTTACAATTACTTTTCCAAAGTTCGCTTTCTTTCCTTACCTTCTCATTTTTAAAAAACATAGATTGAGATGTTTTGCCTCTTTTCTTTGTTTAACACGAATATTCTTAGAGTAGTTATCTTTCCCTGGTAGCCATCACTGCCCTTTGCTCCCAGGCTGAGCAGTGCCAGCCAGGATCGCTGACAGCTCCTAGAATGAATGGGGATTGGCAGCTAGATGCAGTTAAGCTAGAGAGTACTTAAGAACACATTTATTGTTTCTCTGATTTAATTAGTCTGCCCTGTGGAAGAATAAGAAGTGTATTTTCTTTCCTGTAAATATTTTTTAATTCAAGAATCAGTTATGAACTAAAGAAGGTACTAAGCTTCATTGCAAGTGTTTTGATTTCCAACTATGAACCTGATAATCCTAAAGCCTTCTGAGATCTCTGGTGGTTTTATGAAATTGAGGATGGGGAGGGTTATATCTGAAGTAGGAAAAAATATTCTACTTTCTATGTCTTTTCAAAATGAGATAAAGAGAGAAATAGGCAACAAGACCTTGCCATTCAAGGCTGGAACACAGAACAATTCACAGAGGTCTTTTGTTGCACTGGGTTCTGAAGAAATGTTAGAGTAGTTATGGTTTATCAACATGTAGAGTTTTAGTAGTTAGGTTTTAGGTAATTACAATGCAGCTTACATACAGCAACTTTTGCTAGTTTTCTTTTTAGTAGTGGCATTATTTTAGGTTTTGGGCATTTACGAACTTTTGTATTGCTTGCTTTTCAGTGTGCTTTCAGTTTTTTAGTTTAATGTTGAAAAAATTATACCTTTGATATTTCATTTTTAGAATTTTATGTCTTTTTCACTCACTTTTCACTACTTTGTTAAAATAAGTTTAAGACTAATTAAGTTAGTCTTACTCGAAGGTTATACTGAATTAACCTAAAGATGCTGGTTATATTTGCTGAAATTGAAAGCATCTAATTTTAATTCATAGTCATTTGATGTTGCCATATTTTAAAATCTGACAGCATAAGAAAGCAAGCTGTCAAATTGGAGCACAGAACAATTTACAGTCAAAGTTAAACACTTAAAAGCTAAATGCCAGTGATTGGCAATGATGAGCCTACATTTGTACACAGAATCATAGCAACACTGATTTTACTCAGTTGCAACAGCTCAACATTAAAGCAGGCTATGGCTTGATTTCTAGGTTGCAGTTTAGCTTGTGGTTAAAGCCGCTCATTGAAAGAGGTTAGAGGTTGAAACCACTGCAGGGATGAATCACAATAAATGCCAGACTTCTGATGTCAAGTTTTTTTTCTGGCATAGAGGGTTTCCATATTTCATCCTTAATTTTTTGCACCTCTTTTAGTTTTTTCTTGGCAGTAATGGATTTTGGCAAAATGTGGATGACTCTTTGAACATGCCATGCTCTCTAAAGAAAGTGATAAAGCCTTTGCAAATATGAATTTCTTCATCAGAGTAGCATGTTCTCAGACATTACATTTTTTAAAGATTTTTAACAATTTCAGTCCCTTCTACAGCTTCCCACAAGCAAATTGGGCCCTTCTGGTGCTGGTTCCTGGGTGGGTGGGCTTGTGTACGTTCTAGGACCCTGTGGGTCTCTCCAATGAACTGTCCTGTGAGACTGGGAGTCTCTGCTGGCACCTCAACCCCCATAAGTGTTTTTAGTCGGTGCTTTGAGGCTTTATTTCCCAGCGCCGGGGCCCTGGGTTGTGTCGTCTGTCATACTCCCTGTTTTCGCGTTGTTTTTCTGTGCACGAATGTGTGTCCATGGTTAGCCAGTGGCCTTGTGCACCTCACTGGGTCTGCCCATTGCCACCCCGCGCCCGGGGTCTGCCAGCCGCTCTCTGCGTGGCTGGGACCGCCAATCACCACTTTTTCCTGCTGAGACCCCTCTCTGCTGACCGCCAACTCCGCCCCTCTTTCCGGCCTGGATGAATGGTTGTTGGACTTCTGTACAGTTCAGTTTTCTGTCAGATCTGGTTGTTGTTTTTGTTTCTTAATTTTGGTTGTGTGAGGAGGCACAGTGTGTCTGCCTACGCCTCCATCTTGGTTGGAAATCTGCACTGTTAATATTATTTAATTAGGCATTATCTAAGGCTTAGTTTGTTATTAAAGTATGCCAATACTTTCTATTAATTTATTTTTATAATTGACTTATAGCTGTGTATTTCATTGTTTCTGTAAGAAAGTAGATATAAAAGTATTTTCAGTATTATCCTAATTGATAAAGTGTAATAATATGTTGTTCCTTGATACTTGAAGTTAAGGATCTTGCTGAGATAGTGCTTCACAGTAATTCATAAATATCTGGTTGATAGTCTCGGATAGTGAGAAGCTCATCATATTAAAAATTTTTTGTGTGTGTGTTCACAGGAAACCTGTCCAGTTTAAGTCGTCTTGGTCTGAGATATAACAGACTGTCAGCAATACCCAGATCACTGGCAAAATGCAGTGCACTTGAAGAATTAAATTTAGAGAACAATAACATTTCTACTTTACCAGAGGTAAGAAGTAGAAACAAGCCTGCAAGATAATGAAGGGAAAACTAGTAAGTCTTTACAGCTGGATAAATAATTTGATGGTTGAGATTACCTAAAAATGAGGATGCTGTGAATACATAGCCACCACTAAGGTAAAGATTTCAAAGAAGAAAGAATAGGTATTATTAAAGGAAAATACTAAAAGTTTTTGTTGTTGTGGAGTAGGGAGAAACCAAGGTGGAAAATTGTTGTGGTATATTCCCCTTTAGCACCACATAAATCTTTCTCATGTCATTTTGAGAACTGGCAATAAAAGCTATAATAAAGGAAAGGTTGTATGGCTGGTTTTAAAACTTGCTGCCCCACACAGCTCAGTAATTAAAAAAAGGTACTGTAGAAAGATGATAAATGAAAAGAAATGAACTGCATATAACATACTATTTATTAGGAAGATTAATGTTAGCAGCAACACTCCTGTGACCCAAGTTATTATCCTGCTTATACAATAATATTAAAGCCTATCTAGCATCTGTTTTAAACACATTAGTTTTAATTTGGGTTTTCTTGGTTCTATTAGAAAAAATATTTTCACTTATTTTGCCCAGATTAATTGGGCGAGATGCAATAATTTAAAAAAAAATTCTTCTCAACTTTATTACTTTTTTATTCTTGCCTTCCCTTCTTTTGCTACCTGCTATTTTAGCATACCCAACAACTTGTATATTTGCTTATGGTTATTTAGCATAATATCTTATTGTGGTATTCTAACATAAAAAAATGGAATTGTGGACTTATGGATTGAGCTTTTGCAAAGTCTTTTTTTCTAACAATTAAAAATGTCTAATATAAATGGCCCTGTTGTGTTTCAATATTGCTGGTTTTTCCATGGTATGTGTGTACGTATATTTGAATTAAGGATAAAGGTGCTGTGGATGAATATTTTTTAGATTTATGCTTTAATTTAGAAAGAACAATTGAGTAGGTGAAGCTATAGGTTGATAGCCGTTAGCTTATATAATAAATATATTCAGTATTTTTGTTTCTTAGAGATACAGAAATAAAGTAGCACCTCTTAATTTGGCCCCTATTAATCTGAGTGTTTCGGGTTTCAGAAAACAGCTTGGTCAGTGTACAAAAATGAGTTTCCCAGGATTGTAGTTTCTAGGCTAGACCTGTTTCTCATCCGTGGCAGAAGAATACTATTGTTAGCAGCAGTTTAAGTGGGATAAGGAATAGAGTCCACAGATTGTAGATAGAGCCTTGACAACTAGATTATCTGGATTTTTGTGTTTCTGTGATAGTGGCAATTTAGAATGATCAACATGGGTGAGGTTCTACTGCTTAATGTCATCATCCCCTTTTCTAAAAAGTCATTCATATCCATAATAAGACAAATAATACTCACATTAATTAGGCCTTGTTGGGATGCTTTTAGGGATGATTTGTGAGCTTAAGTAAGATTGACTGCTTTTACAGCTTCACTGTGCCTAAATATAAAGACTGGGTGTACATCAAATTACACAGCGAGAAATTTAAAAGTTTATTTATATATTTAGTCTTACTGTCTGTGAAGGGAAGCTGATAATTATTAGTTATCTCTTAGGATACAGAGATTGTGGTAAGTAGTTTCATAGATAATATTTTGTGAGAGAAATTATATTTGATAAAATTATAATGAGGACAGCTCTCTTCAGTCTGGCTGTGGAAGAAGGACTGTGTGCATGTGAGTTTGTGTGTGCATATGCGTATGTGTTTAAACTGGCCTGTTTTCAGGTGGAGAAGCTATGGGGGAAACCCTTGATTGGTGGTGTTCAAATATGGGAAAGCATTAAGCCTTATTTAAACATAGTGTATGTGCTTTGGAAGAGCATATCCTAATTAAATATATTGAATTATTTATAATAAATATAATACATTGTATAACACTATTAAATACTTTATAATATTAATAATTATTAACACTAATATTAGCAATGTGTTATAATATAACACATTACATAGCTCTGTTAAATATATCAGATTATTTATAATATATACAATACATTGTATAGCTCAAAATCCATTAGATAGCTCTTACTCTAGACATTCAGGCTGGTTTAGGCAAGAAAAATTAGGAAAGTGGTTTCTAGTTGGAGCTCATATTGGTGAAATCAGAACTGTCAGTATGACTATATACTTTTCTATTTGAAGACTACCTGAAAATGCACTAGTTTTAATGTAGACATAAACACATAAGCAAAAGGAACTTAATGCTCAAGGCTAGGAGTTCTGTATGTGTTAATCCATTCAAATCTTCATTATAATCCTACTAATTATTGGGATAGTCTTATCAAATAGGTAGAGAAATAAGACATAAGAGAAGTTATGTTTCTGGCTAAATTTGTTACCTTACATATTTTGGGGGGAATATGGTAAGAGATATATTGATTACCTAATTAATTCACCAGAGGTCACAAAACTGGTAAGCGAAGATCTAAGATGGGAACCTAGATATGTCAAACTCTAAAGCAATACTAAACAGCTCCAAAGCTTCACAGTGTGATCTAAGAATGAAAGGTTGGAGAGCTCCTTCCTCTTTTGTTGCTACTTTTCAGATATCATCAGTTATTAACATTTTTAATGGAAAAATGTCAGTTCAGTAAAGTAAGCTGTAAGGATAATAACATTTTTGCCATGAAACTCAATAGAAAACTCCTTTATTTTCAGTAAAGTATGATATATTTTTCCTGAATTTGCTGCCATGAAAAGCTTTCTCACCACTCTTATCTGTGCTCTTTCATCTGTGAACACCAGTAGACAAATGTTGGGTAGCTTCTTAACGTTCAGTTTAAAGAACAAGTCTCAGTTCACCATATAGTTACACCTTTAATGAGACGGTTATTACATGTCTTCTGCTGGCCATGAAAATCAAATGACACCTCAGGTATTAAGTCTTCAGTTTCCTCATGGTGGACAACCAAAATCTGACCATTCTTTAAAACACACACACACACATTTCACTCTGCTTGTTTTAATCCCTGCTCGGGCTTTTATTTCAGTCTACAGTGTTTTCTTCTGCCTCTCTAAATATTTAATTTTTTTTCATCCTTTGAAATTTAGGTCACTGTCAGCCTCCTGTTGCTTTTCCAGTTATTCCAGTATTCCTCATCTTTTCTTTCAACTTAAATAGAGAAGGGACTTACAGTTTAAGTACTTATTATATGCTAGATATTGTAAAACTGTAAATGTACTTTATTTCTTTTAAATGTCTTTACTACAATCTATGAAATAAGGCATCATCATTGACAAATGAATAAACTAAGGTTCAGAAAAATAATTTGCCCAGAGTCACAAACTACTAAAAGATAGAGCCAGGATTCAAAGTTCTTTTATAGCTTATCCTGGTGTTTCTTAAACATTAATGAGCATAGAAATTATCTGGGAATTTTAAGATTCATTTTATGATTCTATAGGAGTGGGGCCTAAGACTCTGCATTTCCAATAACCTCCCAGGGGGTGCTCATTTGCTCTTTTTGAACCAGACTTTAAATAGCAAGAGCTTATTTCATGTCATTTATTCTTGATTATATATAGTTATGTATTATTTTCTTTTTCCTATCTGTGTGATTTATTTATCTAATTAGGATGTAGTCTTCTTAATAACAGAGATTCTTTTGTAATACCTAAGCACCTAGCACTGTGGTTACATGATAGGAGGCTAAAGTAAAGGGATATGGGATCATGTGCTTAATAAATACTTACTTGATAGGTGCATATTCCCTGAGAAATTTTACTATATGGAAAAGCAAGGTATTATGTAATATCAGGAAGTATAATCATCTTCTGAATTTAATATTTGTAGAAGTTACCATTAAATTACTGAGTAACTGCTTACTCTGTGCCAGGCACTATGGTAATCTTAATAATAATTTTGGAGATAGTATTTAACTAAAACCTGGTAAGGATTGGTCACACAGCCAGTGGCAGAACCAGGACTGTCTGATCCCAAAGTTTCTGTTCTTGAGATATCTCAAACTGGCCATGCATGAGGCACCTCATCCCCACAGACATATTTCTTTATGAAGTGTTTTAAATAAATTGAGCTAAATAATAAAAATTATATTTCACACAAGTAATTGAATTTCTTGTTTCTTGTAAAATCTGAAAACCTGACTATATTGGCTCTGTATTCCTTCAAGAAACAATTAGCCAGAGTTGAGCAGTGACTGTTATTCTTCATGAGACATCACAGAAGAACCCAACCAGTCTCTGTTATTTCTTACCCGCAGGGCCCAGTAAGGTACTGGTGTTTGGGACTTGTGCTCTATACTCTACAGAATAAGTCTTTTTACAGTTCTAATTCTTATGTTTATTTCATTTGTTACAGAGTCTTTTATCAAGTCTTGTGAAACTGAATAGCTTGACCTTAGCTAGAAACTGCTTCCAGTTATATCCAGTAGGTGGTCCATCTCAGTTTTCCACCATCTATTCCCTCAACATGGAACACAATCGAATCAATAAAATTCCATTTGGTATATTCTCCAGAGCGAAAGTATTAAGTAAGCTGAACATGAAGGTAAGCCTCTGTTTGTATTAGGGGGAAAAATCTGCTATTACTAGCACTTCTGCTAATATTTATGTTTTCTCTGTTAGTGTGGACAATGGATATTTGCTTCTTGCTGATGGGGTCTAAACTAATAATAAGGATATTTCAGGGCAATTTGTATTAGGTAACAAATATCTTAGAACCATGGAGACAGACCCTTAGCAATTTGTCCTAAAGAAGTAATTAAGAATGTTCATAAAAGCATAGTTTTAGAGATATTTATTACAGATCTTTCCATTTAATTGGTACCAACTTATAATATTAAGAGAGATTTTATTTTTTAGAAGTACTGCAGGCATACCTCATTTTATTGTACTTTGCTTCATTGCACTTCACAGATAATGTGTTTTTTTTTACAAGTTCGCTTGTGGCAACCCTGCATCAAGCAAGTCTTCGGTGCCATTTTTCCAACGGCATTTGCTCAGTTGGTGTCTCTGTGTCACATTTTGGTAATTCTCACTACATTTCAGACTTCTAAATTACTGTTATATCTGTTACGATGTTACTGGGAGCACCACACATCATACTCATATAAGATGGTGATCTTAATTGATATGTGGTGTGTGTTCTAACTGCTCCACCAACCTGTCATTCCCCTATTTCTTTCCCACTCCTAGGGCTTTCTTATTCCCTGAGATCTAACAATATTGAAATTAGGCCAGTTAATAACCCTACAGTGGCCTCTAAGTGTTCAAGTGAAAGGAAGAGTTGCATGTCTCTCACTTTAATGTAAAGCTAGAAATGATTAAACTTGGTGAGGAAGGCATGTTGAAAGCCAAGATAAGCCGAGAGTTAGACTTCTTGCGCCAGTTAGCCGAGTTGTGACTACAAAGGACCAGTTCTTGAAGGAAATTAAAAGTGCTACTCCAGTGAACACACAAATGATAAGAAAACAAAACAGGCTTATTGCTAATGTGGGGAAAGTTTCAGTGGTCTGGATAGAAAAATCCAACCACTTACAACATTCCCTTAAGACAAATCCGAATCCAGAGCAAGACCCTAACTTCAATTCTTTGAAGGCTGAGAGAGGTAGGGAGGCTGGAGAAACCCTTTATGAAAGGAAGAGGTAATTGATGTGGCAAATTTCATTGTTGTCCTACTTTAAGATATTGCCACAGCCGCCCCAAGCTTCAGTAGCCGTCACCCTCAGTCAGCAGCCATCAACATCTAGGCAAGACCCTCTGCCAGCAAAAAGACTATGACTTGCTCAAGACTCGAATTATGGTTAGCATTTTTTAGCAATAAAGTATTTCAAAATTAAGGCATGTACATTGTTTTTTTTAGGCATAATGCTATTATTACACACTTAATAGACGACAGTATAGTATAAAAATAACTTTTTTGTGCACTGGGAAACCAGAAAATTCATGTGACTTGCTTTATTGCCATATTTGCTTTATTGTGGTAGTCTGGGACCAGTACCTGCAGTCTCTCTCGGGCACGCCTGTGCATCTTCAGTGGAATACTATGAAGCCATTAAAAATAACACTGTAGTTTAGAAGAATATTGAATACCAGCTGAAGCATTCTCAGTTTATTAAGTGGAAAAAAATTAAAGCATGTAAGACTTTCTTTCCACACATAGTTTTTAAAAGCTGTTTTAAATGTACTTAGTTATATATTAATTATCTATAGCTTTTTATGCAAATATAGAACCAGTGTTCACCAAAATACAATATTTATCTTTGAATACAGAATTATGTATGGGTATCTTTAGCTTCTTTTTGCTTATTCTCTACAGTGAATGTATTTTACATTGTGATAAGGAAAACAAGTTTATTACCAAAGGAAGAAAGAAATGGGAAAATTATTTGTTTAGTGATTTAATTTGTAGTGAACAAACGTCAGGGCCAGAGGTGAAAATAACTTGGCCACATAGCTAATTCATGGCTGACCTAGGAATTCAGGAAACCTGTATTTCCTGCTTCCAGGTGTAGTGTTCTTTATTATCATAAAACATCCTTTTGTCTTTGATGAACCATTTCAACATAATGTGGTTCTTTAAACTGTGGTCTAAACGTACAGTGATTCTTGATTCTATCTATACTTCTTCATATATATCTTTTAATTTGTAAAAGATACTTCATAAAGTATCTTTTATGATAGTTCTTTGGAAAGATATAATAAATGAACTAATGGAAATTCAAAATACTCTTATAATCTTAAACTAGTATAAAACTTGTTAATCATTTTGATTAAATGAGAGTTACCAGTGGTAACGGCATTACTCTGATGTTCATTTTGTGATAAAAGATTTAGATCACAGCAGTCCATGTAGAAGTTCACTAGTTTTTGCATTTGGTTATACATTTTTATTAATATGATATTCATATAATATGTTAGCTTGGGAAGGTTGTCTGTTTTCAGTGAAATAATAAAACTTTGCATGGAGCTTTGTCTCAGTTTTTCTTCAAGATTCTAACAAATGTTTAACAAAACCTTTTCTTTTTTTTTTAAAGATCTTATTATTTATTTTTAGAGAGGGAAGGGAGGGAAGGAGAGAGAGAGAGAGGAGAGAGAGAGAGAGAGAGAGAGAAACATCAATGTGCGGTTGCTGGAGGTTATGGCCTGCAACCCAGGAATGTGCCCTGACTGGGAATCGAACCTGGGACACTTTGGTTCCCAGCCCGCGCTCAATCCACTGAGCTACGCCAGCCAGGTCAAAACCTTTTCTTGAAAGAAGTCAGTTGAATCCTGACATTTCCTCCTCATACAAGCACCGGTAGTAAGTTTTTTTAGACTCTTAGCTATCAGTAGTTTGGGTATAGATAGACAGTAAGTTTAAATGGTATAATAAATAGGTAGTAAAGTTAAAATATTATAATGAAAGAAGAACTTGGTTTTTAAAGATTTTGTTTATTTATTTTTAGAGAGATTGGAAGGGAGGGAGAACGAGGTGGGGGGAGAGAGAGGAAACATCGATGTGTGAGAGATACATTGACCAGTTGCCCCTTGCATGCTTCCAACAGGGGACCTGGCCTGCAACACAGTCATGTGCCCTGACTGGGAATGGAACTGCGACCTTTCAGTTCACTGGCCAGTGCTCAATCCACTGAGCCACCCCAGCCAGGGCAAAACTTGGTTTTTAAATGGATATTTGCTCCTTGGGATTTGTCTTATGGATGATTTTTTATAAAATAAGACAAGTAATCAATGTACATTGCAAAAAATATTAAAAATACAGATTAACAAAAAAGGCATAAAGTAACCACCAACGCGAGAGGTAGCATCACCGTTAGTATATTGGCATATATCATCAATACCCAGTTGGGATAGTGGTACTGATGGTCCCCTCTTGAAACCAATACCCCCGTGATAAGAGTTGTTATTCATGAACATGTGTTTTAAAAATGAATGTGAGGAAACAAAAAAATATACTGAATCATTGGATATATTTTACTTTTTTTTCTGTGTATAGTTAGATCTAATTAAAAAAAATTAGACTCACACTATTTTGTCACCTGTTTTTATTATTCAGTGATATGTTTTTGTCATTGAATGGACTTTTAAAGTAAAATTGTGGGTCCTTAATTAATGTTTTAATGATTTAGTTTGCTGTGTGATTAAGACATTTTCTCTCTCGTACTTCATTGCTCAGCACCTCTAGGATTGCTGAGGTGGTCTGGTGTCCTTGTAGGCCACAGTTAGACGTTCATCTTCCACTGTGTTCACAAGCACCCACACTTTATTGAGTGATTCAGCACATTATTGCGAAATGAGGAGGATGTCATATTTATCACTGGGACATTTGAAATCTCAAGTGTTGGTTTCTATGCTATGTTTTCTCTATATACAGATAATCACATAGGGAACATACTTTCAATTTACCCTCAAAATAAAAACGGAATTACTGTTTGGGAAACTTTGGAAGCTTAGTGTTTTTGTTGTTGTTTTTTGTTCGTTCTATATTTGTTATCAAAAAAGGGGGAAAGGTTTTTTGTTTAATTAAGAATTCTCTTTCCATCAGGTGGTGATCATGGAATTCTGTTTTTGTGGTTATACTTTAGATGCATCTTTTTGTCTTTGCCAGGACAATCAGTTGACATCACTTCCTTTGGATTTTGGAACTTGGACCAGTATGGTAGAGTTGAATTTAGCCACTAATCAGCTCACAAAGATCCCAGAGGATGTGTCTGGTCTTGTTTCTCTTGAGGTGTGTATAAAAGAGCATTCGTAACTCCTTAGATCCTTCCACAGTCATCTCACTTACAAAGTTTCCCATTAAAATAAGCAATTTCTGTTTGTGTGAAAATAATAATTAGAAATGTTAGAGCTTCTCTTTTTTAAAATTTAATTTTAATTTTTAAAAATATATTATTGATTATGCTACTACAGTTGTGTCCATTTTTCCTCCTTGGCCCCACCTCTGCCCAGTACCCCCATTTTCTCTGGTATTCACCTCCCTTTACTTTATGTCCATGGGTCATGCGTATAAATTCTTTGGCTGCTCCACTTCCTGTACTGTTCTGGACATTGCCCTGTCTATTTGTATTGAACCAATTTGTACTTTTTAATCCTTGCACCTTTTCCCTCATTCTCCCCCTACCCCCTCCCAGCTGATAACCCTCCAAATGATCTCCGTATCTACAATTCTGCTTTGCTTGTTTGCTTAGTTTGTTTTTTAGATTCAATTATTGGTAGTAGTGAGATTGTTGTCATTTTAATTTTCATAGCTTTGATTTTCTTCTTAAATAAATCCCTTTAATATTTCATGTAATAATGGCTTGGTGACGATGAACTCCTTTAGCTTTACCTTGTCTGGGAAACACATTATCTGCCCTTCCACTCTAAATGAGAGCTTTGCTAGACAGAGTAATCCAGGTTGTAAGTCTTTGCTTTTCATCATTTTGATTACTTCTTGCCAGTCCCTTCCAGCCTGCAAAGTTTCTTTTGAGAAATCAGCTGACAGTCTTATGGGAACTCCTTTGTAGGTAATACTCTGCTTTTCTCTTGCTGCTTTTAAGATTCTCTGTTTATCTTTAACCTCTGTCATTTTAATTATGATGCGTCTTGGTGTGGCCCTCTTTGAGTCCAACTTCTTTGGGACTCTCTGTGCTTCCTGGACTTCTATGTCTATTTTCTTCACCAGTTTAGGGAAGTTTTCTTTCATTATTTTTTGAAATAAGTTAATTTTTTTCTCTCCCTCTTCTCCTTCTAGAACCCCTGTGATTCAGATGTTGGTACATTTGTAGATGTCCCAGAGGCTCCTTAGTACACTTGTATTTTTGAACTCCTGTTTCTTGCTATTCTGATTGAATGCTTCCTCCCCACCTTATGTTCTAAACCACTGATTTGATTTTCAGCTTCATCCCCTCCACTGTTGGTTTCCTATAGACCTTTCTTTTTTTCCATTTAACATAACCTTCATTTCTGCCTGGGTCTTTTTTATGCTGTTGAAGTACCCAGTGAGTTTTTTGAACATCCTGACAACCAGTTTTTTGAACTCTGCATCTGATAGGTTGCTTATCTCCATTTCACTTAGTTCTGGAGTTTTGCTCTTTTCTATCACTTGGACCATATTTCTTTGTCGCCTCATTTTGGTAGCATCCCTGTGTTTGTTTCTGTGTATTAGGTACAGCTGCTTTGACTCCCTGTCTTAGTAGTGTGGCCTATTGTAGAAAAGTGTACATATAAGTTATATGGGGCAGAGCCTTAGGTAATTGCTGGGGCTGGGCAACCCATGTCACCGCTCAGTGGCTCTGTGTGGGAGAGGGTTTGGAGAGGGGACAGTGCTGCTGCCTGGCCTCTAAAGTTGTGCCTGGGAGAAAGCTGTCTGCTGGCACTTGCCCTGCTGCCAGTCACCTCAGCCTCTCCGTGTGCCACTGGTGCCCTTCCAGCTGTTGCCCTGGCGCCGAATCCCAGAGTGTGTGGGTCTGCTTAGTTCCTAAGTCTGTTGTGGGCCCTTTGACAGGAGTATCCTGAGAATCCTGCAGTTTCTTCCCCTGCTCCAACCCCCACTGTTCTTTTTCTTTAGATTTTATTTATTTACATTTGCAGAGAGGAGAAAGGAGGGAGGAGGAGAGAGAAACAGCATTGTGCAAGAGAGCTACATCAATTGGTTGCCTCTCGCACCCCCCCAACCAGGGACCTGGCCCTCAACCCAGGCATGTGCCCTGACTGGGAATCAAACTGGTGACCCTTTGGCTCACAGGCTGGCAGTCAGTCCACTAAGTCACACCAGCCAGGGCCCCCCACTGGTTTTCACAGCCAGAAGTTATGGGAACTTATCCCCTTGGCACTGGAACCCTGGGCTGGTTGGTCTGGTCTGGGTCTGGGATCCCTTGCTCCCGAGGTGTCCCTCCCAATTTTCATCCACCACACATGGGTGCAGGACTGCCCGCTCCATGTCTCCATGCCCCTCCGTGTTTGTGTGCCTCTCAGGACCTCTCTGCTTCTCTGCCACTCCACCCCTCGACCCCTTCTACCTGTCTGGATGAAGGCAGCTTGCTTAAATCTTTGGTTGTTGGACTTCCACACAGCTTGAGTTTGTGATGAATCTGGATGACATTTGTTTTGTAGTCTCATAATTTTTACTATAGTTGTGCTAGGTGAGCGTGTTTACCTACACCCCCGTCTTGACTGGAAGTCCAGAGCTCTCTTAAATGTACAACCTCATTAGGATGTTGAGGTGATGACTTAATCTGGGCTCAGTGCTTTTGAATTACTCTTACCCACTAAAAAAGCTGGTTAGTTGGAGTGCTATGAAGTATCTTTGAAATAAAAAGTATCTAAAACTTACCATTTTTAGAACATATTTTTTTTCCCTTAATTGTTGAAGAACTCTACACCAACTCTGTCTATCAGAATAATTATGGATTTCTCATGCTGGCATTCAGAACCCTTCATATAACTCTGGCCTACTCTTCCATCCTAATTACCCACCTACTCTTTTATTTAGCAAATATGTTATTTTATTTATTGGAAATGTATATATTTCTTGATCTGTACATTTAGTCTTACTGTTTTTAATATCTAGAATACCCTCTTCTCATTCCTTGTTTTCTCTTAAAAATCTTTTCCATAATTAAAGGTCCATCTTATTGTCACCTTCTTAGTCAAGTATGATTTTGCTTGCTTCTGAGTCCCTATACCTTTCATTCTTTTGATGAGAAAGCTTACTAATAGTAAATACTTATTTTTAAAAAATTTCTCTGTATCGATATTTTCTAAAAGTCTAATTTCCTCTTGTGTTTTTTTAATGTAGTAAGGTGAAATAGTATGGTATAATGGTTAAAACGAGCTTTGAAGTTAAACAGATCTGAGACTCTTATGGATTTATTAACTTTTTTAAACTTCAGTTTCCTAGCTGTGAAATGGGGATAATATGTAGTATTTTTCCTGTGAGGTTGTAGATTATGCATGTAGTATAGTGCCCTACAAATAGTAAACTCAATAAATGAATAACTGCTATTATTATTTTCTTGGTCTTATTGTATATGTTTATTTTATTCTGAGTAGTATAACTTTGAAAGAAATAAGTTGGTACAAAAAATTAGCCAGACCTTATATATATCTTCCCATTTAGTGCTGTTTTCACTGTCCCCTTCCCCAGTGTTTTCTCCCCACACCTGCTTTGTAACTTCCATGAGAACAATGGCTGTCTTCTTCAACCTTTGTTTGCCTCATTGGTATGTTGTAGGAGGTTTTGCAATGTAAATAAATATACCACAAATGACAACTGTGGTGGATTGATACAGGCAGTTTAGAAGTCATTTGTTACCTCCATTAAATGATGGTTTGTATGGGATTTCAATAAATAACTGGTTTTCTATCAGACATTTATAACTATTCAGCATCAAAATACCATTAACTGTATGAACCTTAGTACAAGTAGATAGTAATTGTGTATGTTTTTGTAAGTTAATAATTATATATATATGTTTAATTTAGTTAAATTCTTTACTTTTGGTTATATTAGTTGTGACTTAAAATCTATATTTACAATTACTATGGTGATTTTTTAGAATAGTAAGTTAAGTGTTTTATGTGATATAATTGAATTATTACCTTTAATATTCAATGTTTAGAAAATTAGCATTGCTTAATAAATATTAAGCCAAACAACAGTAATAATAATTCCATTTTATGAGTTGACAAACACTGTCAATAATTTCTGCTTAGGTTCTAATATTATCAAACAATCTTCTAAAGAAGCTTCCTCATGGTCTTGGAAACCTTAGGAAGTTAAGAGAGCTGGATCTAGAGGAGAACAAATTGGAATCCTTACCAAATGAAATTGCTTATCTTAAGGATTTACAGGTAAAACATTATCCCGATGATTTTATACTTACATGATTAAAATTTTGGGGATGCGTTTCAAATTGCACATTTTTCTTAAAAATTTGATCTAATTCTTGGACTGGATAGATTTTCCTGTTAGAGCATTAAGACTGAGTTTTATGTTCATTCAACCTCTTTGCTTTTGTCTTCCTAACAAATGATATTTTTTGAAAGAAAAACTTAAGTGATTCTTGTCCTATCCATTCTGATTTCTCTGTTCATGTTATTGGATTAGTGTAGATGTATCGTTTTAAATTTACATCAGTTGTTGGAAATATGTGTGTAACCATTTTTATTATGTCGATCTTTTAGAAATTAGTCTTGACAAACAACCAGTTGAACACGCTTCCCAGAGGCATTGGGCACCTTACCAATCTCACACACCTGGGCCTTGGAGAGAACCTGCTTACTCATCTTCCTGAGGAAATTGGTAAGAAGGCTTTGGGTGCTTGACTCTATTAATAATTTGTTCTTTCTGTGTTCAAGTAGTATTTCAGATAATATGACAGATCTGTTTTTGTTTTTGAATCCTCACCTGAGGATATGTTTTACTGATTTTAGAGAGAGGGGAAGGGAGAGAAGACAGGGAAGAGAGAGAGCAACATCAGTTGGTTGTCTCCATTATGCGCCCCGACCCAGGATTAAACCCACAACCTTTTTGTGTATGGGACGGCATTCCACCCAGGCAGGGCTCTGCTGTTTTTGTCAGCTGAGGTTCCAGCATGCTCGAGGTGTCTCTGCTGTGCTGTTCTATTTTATCCTATTCTATCAAGCACCGGTGGTTAGAGGGTTGTTTGGTTTTGGTTAGGTGTCTTCATAGGGTTAAATTTGTATTTGAGAATGTTTTTGCATATTTATATTTCTAATAGGTATAACCTTAGTTTCAAAGAGCTATTTTATGTTTTTTCCAAATTTAAAAATTACACAGGCTTGCTTTAAATTAGTATCGTCTTATGTCAAAAGAACATTTTAATGAGATTTTAGGATTAATAATAATATTTGATGAATGTTAATATTTGAGAATACTTTGGAGTTTTCTAAGTGTTTTCATATCTGTTACTTCATATAATCAACGTAACCACCTTGAATTTGAGGCAGTGCAAGTTGTAATTCCATTTTATAAAAAGAGTTAATTAAGGTCACATATTAGTTTTTAAATTAGTAATTTTATTAACTATGAATTATAAATTAACTATAAATTAGTAATAGCCATGCTGTTCCATAGGCACTATAGATTGTTGATTAAGAATGGTTTTGAAGTAAAGCAGACCATTCAAAGTCTGGTTCTGTGCCTTTGAATAAGGGAGGGAGGGAGACTCTTGGGTTCAAGTGTCCTATTTATAAAATAAGGGTGATAGTAGTAATTTCTCATAGGGTTGCTCTGAATATTAAAAGAATATTAAATGTAAACAAACCCATTATATTAGTCTTCTACATACCACTATAAAATAACACAAAGTTTGAAGTTTAAAAATTGACAACATATGAGTTAACTTTCCACTTTTATTTCTAGTGTATCTATTCAGCTGGCCTCATGCAGTTGCTTGAGACATTTGCCTAGAAAGTATGAGTATCCTAAGACAGTCCAGGACAAATTTTTTTAGAGTATATAAATTGATTTTTGGCTTACTGCCAAGTATGTGGTAACTGTCTTAGTGAAAGATTTATACCAAGTAACAAAAATCTTTCCACGTGAGAAATGTATTAATAAGAGATTGTCACATTGTCCACAATAGAAAAATTATAGGTACTGACTGTACAACAGACTTGCCTCTGGAGTTTCCAAAATAACTCTCCAAGCTTGAACACCAGTCATAGGAAGAGATTCTGATTTAATTGGTATGGAGTGTGACCTGGATATTAGGGTTTTTCAAAATCTCCCCAGTTGTTTTGAACATGCAGCAAAGTTTGAGATCCACAGTTGTAAAGAGTTTTAATATTAGGAGAAGTGAGAGGAAATGGGTATTTCAGTGTATATAATGTGCAGAATAGCATCATGCCATTGACATTTTTTTAGTAGTAACTAATTAAAAAATAATAATTGATTTGGTTTTTTTAAACAGGTACACTGGAGAACCTAGAAGAACTGTATTTGAATGACAACCCCAACCTGCATAGCCTTCCCTTTGAGCTGGCTCTTTGCAGCAAGCTTTCAATCATGAGTATTGAGAACTGTCCACTCAGCCACCTTCCACCTCAGATTGTTGCTGGGGGTCCTTCTTTCATCATTCAGTTCCTGAAGATGCAGGGTCCATATCGTGCCATGGTCTGATACAAATCTGCTGGTCCCACACACTGTTCAAAAATAGACTGCCATTAATGTTTCACATCTATATCTGTATCTATTTATGTAGATATTGATATATTTGGCAGATTTATAAAGACTGCATTATGTGTTTCTGCTAATAGAGGAATCATAGCCATTTAGATTTTTTTTAATTCTGTACAAAAGGCTTATATAAGTTTTCTTTGCTGACCTTGGATATTTTTCTGTTTGTAATATGATACTCCAGTTTGCTTAAAACATTTGTAAACAAATTATGAATTTATTAAATTTAAGGGGTAGAGGTAGTATAGTTATACTTTCTCTTAGCAAATATAATGGGCAATTTTGTTGCAACTTTTCATAGGCATTTTCCCCTTACCAACTGTCAGACCTTTATAGTATTATAGGCCATGAAGGTAGAATTTTTCTTTAACTTATTTTGAAATTTGAGATTTAAATTTTATATATTGTTTACAGTCAGAGTAAATCACTGGATTTTTGTTGTTGTTGTTTTGATTTGCTCTGTTTTAATCAGTCAGATCTAGAGTTTATATCATCTAAAGAATTTGCATCAGCTGATTCAGCTATTAAAAGATATTTGTTTTTTGAAACAATGGCAAATTGAAGATACAGGCAGAAATTCTAGAATTCCTTTCATCATGATTCTCAGATCAATTGTAAAGCAAACTATTTGACAGGAGTCTTTGGGGTGGGTGGGGGGAGGGCACTGAGATCTTTTCTAGTACAAATGTCTTTTCTTAAGTTTGGGGGAAATACAAAAGAAGTTTCATTCTTAAAAGTTGCAGGTCCACAAAATAGAACAGAATAATTTAGCAAAAAAATACACATAAACACACATTCTATATATGTATATACAATGCTATATAGATATGTATTTATTATATCATAAACTACATTAGGCAACTTTAAGGATTTCTCCCTAGCCTTGTACAATGAAAATGAATGTTTTTCTTTGAACACTGCAATATATGTTCCAAGGTTATTTAACAGTGTACTATGGTTTCATATCTTGACTTGCCTTGTACATCTTTTCAGTTCTGGAATATCTGCGTCTAAGCACACTCTCTTCACACTGTGCTGTATTGCTGCTGAACTAAATGCACTTTTCCCCACATGTGGGGCACTGGCTTCAAACAATTCAGTTCAGTACCATTGATTTTGATTTCATCTTTCCTTTCCTGGTAGTTGCTAATACACTCATGGAAAAGAGGCACATTGCGTAGAAGCCATTGATAGTTCAGTGGAAGTTCTGTAAGATGTGCATGTGCTATTCGATGTGTTTTCTTTTGCTCTACTATTTTAAGGCTGGCCGTGTTGTCAGTGCGAGCCCCTTATTCAGTACTCTGACTTTTGGTAGGGTCAGTCTCAGTAGACTTAATTTTTGAAGAGACTCACAGAGCAAGGACTTTCTAGATACCATCCTAAAGAACACTTTCCATATAATGAATAACTATTATGTGTAATTACATGTTGCTGCTTGGATTTCTTTTTTTACTTCCTTTTAGATGGGCATTGTGTCTTAAACCATTTTTGAATTAAGGCCATGATATAAAGATAGAAATTTTGAGTGTTGTTTTGCTTTTCCTGGTGCTCAAAATCAGGACTAAGTTTGAGTTGGAAACTGTATTTGTAATTGGCAAATTGTTAAGGAGCAACTAAGGAATTGAAGGCAGGTGAAGATATAAAACCCTAGAATGCTTGTATGTGCTGTAAAACTATTGTAGATATCACTGGATTTTACCAAGTAATATCCTTTCTTCTTTTTTTCCATCTACTGTGGCTTTTCTGTTAAAATTTTGTTTATAAAAGGAATTTGTTTATTACGGCTCTACTTGGAGCTTGTGTGTATGTGTGGTTTTTAAAAATCCTCATATCCAGGCGTGCTCATGTATTGAGATGATGGAACTTGAATTTTAAAGGGAGTAACCTAATGTCTTTTTTCTTTTTGAAAAAATGGTTATTGTTCCTTAAAAATGAAAATACTTTTTTTTTAAACATTTTGGTTCCCCTACCTTCATTTATATTGATCTGTAACAGATGCAAAATGATCAAAATCTTACATGTAGAAGTGATGTTATAGGCAAACCGTATATAGCTGAGGAGTTACAACACTTTTTTACAAAGCATAAAACGTGTCCTGGGTATGGCTGCCACCTTGTAAGAGCCCATAAATTTTATTACTTCTTCTAACAAGAAACTAAAGTGGACTCTAATTGGTATACCCTTGTGAAATCAAGATATTTAATATTAAAGTTAGAATATAACGGATATTGTTGACTACATGTGTGCTAATACTTTTCCTGAATTACAGTAGGACTACAGTAGGACTACCCAGCATGTCCAAATTTTTCTTTTTAAAGAAAAATTGTCTTTTAAAGAAATTACGTTAGTCTCTCCATGAGGCACAATAACTTTTAAAAAAGTCATAGAATGCTACATTGCTCTAAACTTCGCCTTTTGTTAATCTACAAAATGGGGCAAAAGTAGGTTTACAGTTGTGCATGTGGAAAATATATTTAATAAATAATAATACAAGAATAAACTGTTTTATGTACTCACAACTGTAAACCTACTTTTGCCCCACCCTGGAGAGTAGGAAAACAGCAATAACTATGTCAAACAGTCCTTCTGTGGTAGTTTACTACTGTTTAAATCCCAAATGATTATTTCATACAGAAAGAAGGGGACGATCCTAAATAACTTAAGGACTTGATGGATACAAAAGAAAGCGGTAGAAAATAGAAACTCTCGGAGGAGAAAATACACATAAAACATTTATTTGTACTTATATTAAAAGATGGGTGATGCAATTGGAATAAGCTCAAGATGTAATTGCATATTTCTAATTTATCTTATAAAGTGTGAATCATTTAAAATGGATAAACTGTTACACATCCCAGTTTATCTAGTCTTTCTCCAATACCTTTGTTACAGCTTTTACTTTTCATCTCAGTTATTGCTAAGCCATGTGTATTGAATCCACATTTCAGCTTGCAGAATTTGTAATTGTTCATCAATAAGCATGGGTTGTGGTTAAAGCATATAAAATGGGACCCTTTGAAATGGAAAGGGGACACTACTGATTGTCGTATTGGGCCAACAACCGTACATCAGAACTGTCTCTGGAAAACGAGGATATGTGATTACTCTTGCATGATTAAGCTTAGATAAAAGCAAATGGCACAATCCCAAATAGGCAGAAGAACTTGTACAGAAAGATTTCTTTCCTCCTATACTAGAGGATAAGTAGGATACCAAATATCTTAGCTAAAATGTTTTTCTTGCTTTATTCTTTTGGGTAGTGTAGCCCTTAAGAGCCAGTTTGGACCATTGGAAAATGTGACAATATTTGGTTGATTATTGGATCTCTGAGAATTTGAATATGTAGAGTTGTGACATTGATTTGGTATCTAAGGGAATATCTTGAATGTTAGATTAATAAAGTATTATGAGAATGTTTTAGAAAATAGTTATCAATACTTTGTTATTGAACAGAATGCCTTCTAAAGCTGATAACACTAACTCTAAGGAAACATCTATGGGTTTATTTTAAACTTTGAAATATAAGTCAAAATATAAATGTTTTGAGCGGGTGATTTTTAACTTTTAAAATTGAAGTTGGTCATTATTATCTTTAAAAGGATTTTCTCTTTACACACTTGTTAATGATCCTGCTGACATTGTACATTCTAAATGTCAACTTTTTTAATGTAAATACTTGTTAGTGTCAGGACTTCAACAGGGCAGTGGTTTATCAGCTTCAGATGGGGGGTTTTTAGAGTTTGGCAGGAGGAACAGTGTCCACTGTGGAGAGCAGCACAGACCGAGCAGCCATGGACAGGCTTTGCAGGCTGTGCAGAGTAGCCGCCACCACATGTTGAGGGGGTCGTGGATACACAGATCACAGCATGGATTTGTATGTTTCTTGTCAAAGTTCTCAGCAGATGGCAATAAAGTGCCTTGTTCTAACGAAAGTCAGTATCTCATGTCAAATTTCTGAGAGATGGAAGTAAAGAGCCTTAAGGAAGGGCCATTTCCTCCCGCAGTTGCACAGTGGTGCTGGTGGGCTAACAACAGGGAGGTTTCATCCTCATGCAGATGAGAGCTCCAGCCTAACAATCCTAATAATAAAGGAATAATATTTAAATGACATTATATGCATTTTATATGATACAAGTACTATGAAAAATTATCTTGGAAAACCTAATTAGAGTCTTAGGTACTTCATCAGTGACCGTCTGTTCATCTAGCTAGTACTTAAAACCTGGTGTCAGTCCCCAAAGGGAATGTGTCTGGCTCACATTGCGTAATATTTGTTTGTAATAGAATAGTATACTAATGTGTACTTTTTCCTCATTCCGTGGTTTTCTTAACCTCAGAAATCATTTTATCAGAGCTCAGAACGTTGTAATGGCTAAATAAGAATGTAGCAAAGTCTTTTGTATGATGAATAGTATCCTTTGATTATATTTTCATTTGCACGCTAGAACTTGTTTTTAATTAGCAACATGGTAATTTGCACAGTACACAGTTCACAAGGCACAGATTGAACTATGTAAAAACAATAATATCTAAAAACAATATGTAACAGTTTTGACTTTTCTCTTAGTGAAGATCAGACTTCCACTGATGTTTGACAGGTTTTGTGTTGTGGTACGTACTTGGCTATTTTGGGTTATGTGATTCAAGGCTAAAAGGTATAAACAGCCTTCAGAAAATGTGCTTTTAACTTGAAGTTGTTAGTTATTTTGGCTATATAAAAATTATCGTTCTTTTGTAGTCATTCTGTAGTAAGGTATTCGATATAAATAATGTATTTGTAAATGTTTTGCCGTTGAGACTTTTAAAGAATTTTCCAATGCTGTAAGTAACTGGTGTTGCACATGAAATCTTTGCCACGTCATTGAACCAGAAAAATGTGGAACTAAGAGCGAAGACTCTTCACTATCAGTTAACCTGGAAAACTTTAAAACAGCAAACGTCATGCATGAGGTGTACAAAAGTAGTGCGCCAAAGATGCGACAAAATACATGGTCAGCAGTGACCTTCAGTATTGTTATTTATGTCTTCTATATTTTCTGTTTATGAAGTCCAGAACTATGGCTTGGGGGGGTGGTGGTTAAACTATTAGAATACATAATGAATGTATTCTATAATGAAGGTTGACCTGTAATGGAAACATTACATTATTAGAGCCCATTCTTTTAGCCCTCGTTAAAAAAAAAAGGCTTTTTGTGTTTTGTAACTTTTCATACATCTTCTCGGTTGTTTAAGATGTAACAAAAGGTGGAAATTAAGTGCAGGATTCTAAGAAAAAAAGTTGTGATACTAATAACATTATTTGTGTTTTTAATTGTTTCATGAGAACAAAAGCTATAAAAGAACTCATCCAGTGGGAACTATTTAATTGGCTGCAGAAAACTTATCAGGGAAGGTAACAGATATGAGTCCTATGCACAACTTGATTAATTTTCACCCTTCAACATTCTTGGATACGTATTTTTTAAAAATCAGTGTCAACCTTGAGAAGAATGTGTGGAAGGAAATCAAAAGTGGAGATCAAGTGGCTGGGTGGGAGCCTGTTGGAGTAATCCAGGTGAGATAACAGTGGCTTTGATTGGGATTTTATCAGTGGGGATGGAAGGAAATGGAAGGAAATGCACATTCAGGGCAGCCTGAGGAAGAGGTAGTAGTAAGACCTTGTGGCTGAACGGAAAAGGTGAGTTAGAGGATCAAAGGTTATTCTCAAAATTATGGCTTAAGCCTCTGGGTGTATTTGCTCAACTATGGAAATTTACAGCAGGGCCAGGTTCTTTGAGTTTGGGTGGGAGGAGAGGGTGTGTTCTAGTGACTGCAGGACATCAGTTGGAGATGTCAGGTCGGCGACTGGGGGACACCATCCAGCATATAGATTACAACTGAAGCAGGAATTGTCTACAGAGAGCAGGTAGAATAGGAAAAGGATGGAATCTCCTAGGATGGAATCCTGATCAACATGTAACTTGTGGAGGTTGGGAGGAGCCTGCAGAGCCTGAGAAGTAGCTACACTAGAAGTGGAAAGGAAACAAGAAATATACTCGATAAACAGACCAGCCACTTTCATTGAGGTCAGTTTTACTAACCCTCAGTATATTCTGCTTCAATATCATTTTATTTTCCATACCCATTTCACCTATTTGTCTAGGGTCTGCCCTATAAAAAATGTTTGCCACTAACTAGCCACATGTGACTTTTAAGATTCAGATTAAAGTTACATAAAAATTTAATTTCTTAGTTACGCTAACCACATCAGGTTCTCAGTAACCATATGTGGCTGGTGACTATTACATTGGTATAGATACAAAACATCTGTCATCAAAAAAGTATGTTGGACAGTGATCCTAGTTTATAGCTGCTCTTTCTTTGTCATTAGTTTTCAGCCCTGAAACTGAGACAGAGGTTACACCAAGTGTGTGTTCTGGTTGGGCCTGTGTGCAGTTTAATTTCCGCAGAGAACTGGGTGGAGGGTGCCAGATGAGGATTGTTAGGGGCAGCTCTTCATGGCCTTCCCAATACTTCTTGTACGATTAATTTTAATTATATTCTTACTTAAATTTGAGTTCCTTAAATCTTATCTCTAGAAATGTCACCTAAAGAGAGAACCAATTTTTCTTCATTTAAAAAAATTTTGTTTGCTCTTTTCTACATTCTAATTATTCAACTGATTTATGGTGGTCTTTTTCCCTTTTTGGTATTTAACTGTAGTTAATCTTGTAGGTCAGATTTGATATATAACTGGCTAAGTCTGTGCACTTGATTTTAACTCATCTTGGAGCAACACTGGCTTAACTGGTCTAGCTGAAGAACTAGATTTTCATGGTCTTAGCCCTGTTAGCAAGAATCAGGCCTAGGAAGAAAATGTCTGTATTTGGGAGGGGTACAGACACTCTGATTTGAGAAGAATACCATTATAAAATATTTAGATTAAATATAAGTGATTAGATGATTGACTCTTGAATGACTTGCTGTCAGTTCATACTACTGTTTTTGCTAAAGTTTTTAAAAATTGGCTAATAATTTCTTTTTCAAATTACAAGAGCAACAAAATCTAATGGAAGAGTTAGTATATATTACAAATATTACCTTCAAGTTAGTGTGAATTCCAAATCTTTATAAAGATACCATCTTGTTGAATATGAGGTCTATCCAGACAGTAACCAGCCATGTACTATGAAAAAGAGACATTTATTGAAGAAGATACAAGAAACATTGTACATAAGACAGTGATGCCTTAGTCCCCTTCAAAGTAGGCGTCCTGGGACCTCATACAGTTCTCCCAGTCGCCGTCAGCAGCCGTCCTGAATGTGATCGATGCTCGGAAATCTCTTCCCTTTGAAAGGTGATTTTAGTTTTGGGAAAAGCCAGAAGTCACAGGGCAGCAAATCTGGGCTGTAGTGGGGCTGAGTAACCTGGGTGATTTGAAGTTTCACCAAGAAATTTGCACCAGATGTGATGCATAAGTGGGCAGTTGTGATGAAGCTGCCAATCACCAGAAGGCCCATAGCTACAGCCTTCTGAATCATCTGAATAGTTTCCGAGGAGGAATGTTCAAGCTTAATGCAAAATTTGATGCAGATTCATCGCTCTTCTTGCTCAGTCATCTTGAATGCGACGACCACAGACTACACGTGCACATTCAATGACGTCTACCACCCCCACTGACTAGTACAGTGAAGTGGTCATTGTTCACACGTGTGCATTGTCCACTGTCCTTGGCTGCCAGGTTACATCAAGGTTGTACAAAACATTCTCCCTACATTAACAATGGCTGGATGTTTTCCAGACAGACCATGTGTATGGTTACTTTAAATTTTCCTGTTGAGATAATCCGAATGCTTGGATTTTTTTGTTTTTGTTTTTTATCAGTAACTTTGAAAACTAGTTAGAAAACCTAATTTTAATGTTATTTGTATCTTAGAGAGTTGGAATGCCCAGTGTTTAAGCATCTAAATGTCCAAATTTGGTATGACTGAAGTAGCATTCAAAATGCTTGGAATTAGTCTTTTAGTTTCTGAAGTGTGAAGATAGTAATAAAATTTATGTGACTACATATTGATGAGTATGTGAGTATGGGAGAAAGACAGTCAAACCATAATGCTGAAAACAAATGAAGTGAGTTTTGTGTTTTGAGTCAGGCAGTGTGATTGGTTTGTAAAGAAGTTCCTGTCTTTGTTGATTTGGGATCAACAAAAATTCATTGTATTTCCTGAATTTTACTTATTATGGGTAATATGCATTTTAACTAGCACTACTAAGTGCAAAATAATGTTTATCACATATCTTGACTTTTATATAGCCAAATACACACTATAGTGTTTATCATGTATCTTAAATATATATTATATAGTCAAACATACTACAATTTTTTTGCCATGGAGGAGGTCACAGCCCAATGAATTTCACACCTATCTCAGTAATCTACTTCTAAAAAATTAAGAATAGCTAATTTCATTCAGAGTTCAATTTTTTTAGCCTCAAAAGCACCTCCTGTTACTGCTTAATAATGGCCATCCTGAGGCAATTAAATATATTGGTTGCCTTTTAAAAAAGTACTAACAGACTTTTGTTTATGGAGAATAAAATATTAATGTGAAGAGTTATGGATGAACCTGGGTTTAGAATGATTGCCAGTTTCCTTTAAAATGTTGGTAACTTTTTTCTGAGAACATCAGCTTAGATGCAAATAGTCTACACATTTTGGCCTTCAATACCAACTTCAAAAAAACACTGTACAATCAAGGATTCTTCTAAGTAACTCCTATTTACTCGGGTTGCAGATGAAAACGAAAAGCAAACTGTTTCAAGTTTTCTGCTTTTGTACAGTAATAACTAATCCTGGTACTTTCCCAGGGCGTGAGTCTTACTGCATTCACCAGGTGTCATTGTAGATGTCTGAGTAATCAGGTTGACTTTTTTCACCTGTACTCACTCTTCTGCGAGATTACGTTTCTCCAGCTTTTCAAACACATTTGAATACCATGTAGTAAATAATAGCTTTAAAAAAGTACACAATTCTAAAATATACAAATAATTCTTCCAAGTTCTAAGTTCAAGAGTTTGTTTATACCCAAGAGCCTTGGCAGTTATTTAATAAAATTTGTATACTATTACTTGTTCAGGAGTAAATTTTAAAACATTTAAAATTTCGGTCCCTGGAATTGGCATGGGCTATACATTTTACTGAGGATTGTTAAGGACTCGGGTAACTTTTGAACCTTAAGAACTTGACAACCTTGGTAATCATTTTTTTTCCCACTTCTTGGTTTGGGTTATATTTAGGTGTTTTTGTTTTTGTTTTTTTTTAAGGATCAATGGTATATTATTTTAAGTAAGCTAATTCCATTTTTCCTTGCTATGTCCTTGGTTTTTATGTAAGTCTGACTTCATTACCTCTTTTCAAGACAAGGGAATATCCAGGATAACTGAATGAGTTGATACACCGATGCAGTATCGTGTCCACGATGAATTGGAGTCTGGGTGTTCTGACTCCTCCGGCAGTGTTCTCGCTGCTCCACTGCACTGCCTCCCCATCCGACCCACAGCATTTCTACCGCTCTGACTGAGATACGGGAACCTGGTAAAAGCCTAATCAGTGGAGCCTTCATTAAAACAGGTGGACCATGTGAAAGCCAAATCAAACAGATTTTCCTCCACTAAGAATCTACAAATTGGACACGAATCTGAACAATTTAGACTGAATTCTACACTTCTTCTAATCCTCTTAAACCAAATGCAAGCTACAAGCTACAAGCCACAGGCTAAGTGCTAGGCTGGAATCTATTAAGTCTATAATGTGTAATTTCTATATGTAACTGCTGCTGTTTTTGTGTAATCTTTCTTGGTGATTACAGGTGAATGATAGAATTTTCGTTGTGGACAAAGTCAAGGATTGTGACTTTATAGCGTTCAAAGAAAGCACCTGGACTACTTGTCAGAGGTTTGAGGTGACAAGGCGAACTGCGGCCCCGGAACTGGAGAGAGGGGCAGATACAGAGAGTCACAACCGCCAGAGCAGGAGCCTGTGAGCAAATCTATACCCAGGCATACCATGTCCAAATGGCAGGAAAAAAAAGTTACATTAAAAAGATAAAAAAGTCTTGAGGGAAGCAAGAAGGAAAAACACCGTACCTGTGGAGAAGCAAGGAAAAGAATTCTATCAGACTTGTTTTTGAAAACATGCAAAAAGTGAAATAGTTTGTGTTGAGAGGAAAAAACCCACTAACAGAGTTCTGTATCCTATGAAATTCTCATTTAAAAGGAGAAATACCTTCTCACATGCATTAAAATTGAGGGAATTTGTCACCAGTAGACCTGACCTGCCTTCTAAGAATTGCTAAAAGAAGTTCTAAAGTGAGAAGGAAAATTATATTGGTCAGAATCTTAATCCACTGTACATAAAGAAGAGCATTAAGGAATAAATGAAAGTAAAATAAAAGCATTTTTCTTGTACTTAGCCGATCTAACAAATTCTTCAAAATAGCGATAATGTATTTGGTGACTATAGATTATAAGTGAAATAAATGACAGCAGTGTTACAAGGGATGGGAGAGGAATTAATTGCAAACACTATTATGAAGTACTTGCCCTACCCCTGAGGTGATGTAACGATTACTTGAAAGTGGACTTGGATTAGTTGTAAATGTATATTGCAAACTCTAGGGCAACCACTAACAAAAGTTAAAGCGTATACTTCATACGCTATCAGAGGAGAGAAAAGGGAGTCATATACTCAATTCAAAACACATAAGGATAGAAAAGTATGGAAGACAAAACAAAATTTATATATAGAAGCTCGATATTAATCCAACTATATTAATGATCACTAAGTATCAATGCTGTAAATACACCAATTGAAAGATTGACACAGTAGGTAAACAAGGCCATATGTTGCCTAGAAGAAACATTAAATATACAGACAGATTAAAAGGATGGAGAAAGATATACCACGCTAACACTAATAAAAGTTGGAGTAGCTGTATTAATTGAAGATAAACTTCAGAGCAAGGAAAAGTACCAGATAAAGGAGCATTGCAACATTTTAAAAAGATCATGTCTCTAAAAAGACGTAATTCCTAATGTGTAGGTGCCTAACAGACCACCAAAATACGTGAGGCACAAACTGACGGAACTGGCTATAGGGAAATCAGTCCACTCTTACATTTGGAAATGTCAGTGCCCCTCTGGATGGGTCTAATGGACAGACCCAGCAGTCAGAAAGTCGGTGAACGTGGTTGAGCTCAACACCGCCATCAGTCAGCTGGATCTGACTGACATCTACAGACTACTTCCGCAGAATACATACTATCTTCCCAAGCTCACACAGAACAATCACCGAAATAGACCACGTTCTGGGTCACAAAACATGCCCATTCACAAATGTATTAGAACAGAAATCCGGGGGTGGGAGACAGGTGGGGGTGGAAGAGGGCATAGGGGAATAAATGGTAATGGAAAAAGAAAATAAAGAATAGAAATCATACAAATATGTTCTCAGACTGTAATGGGATTAAACTAGAAATCTGCTACTGCTTACTATTTAAGTACTTTCTGAAGTTTTTCCAGATGTTTTAGGTGTGATCAGTGAGAGAAGCTGTGACAGGGTTACTCCTTTTGTGATGCTGAGGATGGGTTTGCCTTTTAAAATGTATCTTTTCTTCATGATTGGATCAAGGAATGCATCACTGGAAATATTTGGTGTTCTTTAAAAAGCTCAACTATTTTATTTACGACTTGGAGCATACGTAAGGTCCATGAAAACAGGACCCCTCTCAGAGACGCGCTGCCCAGGCAGCAGGAAGTCTCGTCGGTGACTGTTCACATCAGGGTCTAGCACTGAGTCTGGCTCACTGTAGAGAATCAATACATAGTTGTTGTGAAATGAAAGCTCTGACGTTCGTTTTGGTCAAGCATTCTGTTTACACAGAAGAGAAACTTACTCCAGTAGACTGAAGTGAACAGGGGAAGTAGTCCTGGGGGTTCTGGAATCTTAGGGAATCTGAGAATGAAAACAAGAGGTCTATCGCAGCTTCACAGCACTCAAGGCTGGGATTTGGAGTGCTGGGGAAAACCGAGGCCGCGGAGGACTCTAGGGTTCCTCGCCTCTGTTGCTCGCTGTGCATTTGCTCAATCCTCTTGCCTCTACTGGTAAAGAAAGAGGAAATCGGGCCTTTAGGGAGAGCATTTAAGCCACAGCATCAGCCTTGTCCAAAGGCAACTCCGCCCCTGGCTTGAACTGTTTTTCGTTTATGTGAATTCATTTTTTGTTCTATTTTAGCCAGTTTTAGTTGGGCTTTCTATTGCAAACAAACAAAACAAAAAACAGCATCCCGAGACAGCATCGCCCTACTTACCCTGCTTAAAGTTCCATCAGCCCCCGATCCTGTGACTCTTCTTTCCTCTCGGCTCTTTCTGCACCTCCAGCCCAGTCCGCATCCGACTCAGAATCAACAGATAGACGTAAATCCTGCCTGTAAAGTACCCAGAGAAGGTCATTCCCAGTTTCCATCTCACGAACTTGAGTCCCTAATGACCTTGTTGGGGAGGCTTCTATTAAGTGCCATTTTCTCGGTTCTCTGAACTTCATTGATTCTGTGCCCCTTCTTTGGTAGCTAATAATGTAAGGAACTGCACGTGTGTCCTTGTTAGGGACAGATCAAAAACCTTCGACTTCCACCCCCCTTCTCTGCTGTTCACACACACAAAAAAATGCCTGTTAAGTTGTATTTTCCCACTTTCATCTTGTTTTCAATTGGTATTTGTCATGCTAATTTATTAGCTGTCAAACTTTAATAGAACAATTTTAGAATCTATTTGCATGTATGAGGAAAATTCAAATTAATAAAGGACAAAGTGTTGCCAAATAAACAAATATTCCTAATGCATAGTGAGCACCTATTAAATACCAAACACTGCGTTAGGTATTTTCCATGTATTTGCTCACTTAATCTTCCTTTGACAGTGTGCATGAAGCAGGGACAAGTTTTTTTCCCCATGTCCCTATGAGGAAACTGAAGTCCAGAAAGGGAATTCCTAATTTTTAAGGGACAGAACGAGCACCAGAACTCAGGTTTATTTATTTTACTCTGAAGCCCAGATCCCTAATGACTTCATTCTAATGCTTCCCTGGCAGGGGAGCCTTTAGGAAGGAAGAGAGTGTCCTCTTGTCATTAACTAAGGACAATGGAAAAAAAGAAATCATTTCTAGGGAGCAGTGATAGCAGCCCGCCTCTTAAATACTGTATGTGTGAGAGCGTGTGTGTGTTTCAGGCACCATGTCTCCTTGGTTTCCTTGAGTAAATGGGAAGGGTGAGTCACCTTACCTAATTAGATTACCGGGATGTTAGTTTAAGAGTTATTAGTTAATGTTGGTGACAGTTAGCTCCTTTACACCCCAGGGCCAGTGGACCTGGCTCACCTGTTTTCCTGAGAACAAACAGCCATCACTCACCACGGCTGTTTCAAGCCACGCGTTTCCTTACTATGCTTCTGGACACAGCAGGCAAGATACTTCCCCTGGATTTGGGGGGGAAGGGACACTTATTTGTAAGAACCAACCTGGAGGACCAAAGGAGGTGATGGTAAGGTTTGTGTATGCGCACAGCCCCCACTGGTCTCGTTTTAGTGGAAACACAAACATGTCCTGCAGGGTTGGGCTGCAGCAAAGAGCCAGAGGGGAGCCCAGCCTTTCCCGGCATCCTGGAGGTCAAGAGGATGCTGGCACGGACCACGGTCCTTTGGTCTTGGCCAGAGACAGAAGACACCTGGCTTCATCTTTCTCCCCGTCTGGGGCAGGATGGGCTGGCACTTGAGGATCTCTTTGATGAAGGGGGTGGTAGGACTTCTCGCCTGTTTTTGTGAACATGGCAGGACTCATTTGGCAGTCAGAGGAGAAGCACAGCTGGTGGTAGATAAAGCAGTTCCTACGACAACAGTCTCAGAGTCCACGCTTTGCTTTTGGCTTAACTCCACCTCCAGTAACAATGTGATTCCAAGGGCTCCGGCACAGGTACAAGGAAGTGGAGGAATTAAATCAGGCCTCAAAGGAAGCGATAGATTTTTTTCCTCGTGACTGCCTCCCGCCTCGGTGTCAGCAACGCAGCTACTTGACAGATGTTTTTGCTTCCAGCTGCGTGCGTGGCATGGGCGGCTGCGCGGACATTGTGTTCCCCACATGGTCATGGTGTTCAGAGGGGTGAGTGTGTGTTTAAGGTGTGTGTGTGTGTGTGTGTGTGTGTGTGTGTGGACTACCGTTTGTGAGGGTGATATCACAGCCTGGGAGTCCAAGCTGATGGGGCATGTAGGTTTTTCTTAGTCAAGCCTTCAAAGAATGTCCCCACCCCCCCAAAAAAACCCCAAACAAAAGTAAACTATTAATACCATCACTGCCCAGTTCCTCACTCATTTTAGATAAAGTCAGGTTGTATTTTGGTGTCATTTTGCCTGACTCTTTAACTGCAGATATAGTTCCAGGTTTTAATAAACCTGGTTCGGGTATGCTTTGGGAATACAAAGGCAGACAGGACAGTCCTTTCCTCTTACTAGGCCACCAAAAGGAGCCTGTACAGAAGGAACAGGTGAGGTGGTGCCATAAGGGTCCACCTAAGCTGCGGAAGAAACGGGAGGGGTGGCTGCTCCCACCAGCGGCTGGGAGGCCAGCAGTCTCGGCTGCACAACCAGTCCGTGTAGTGCTCGCTGTCCAGCAGGCTGGCCATTGGGAACTGTAGTGTCTGGTGCTTCCTCCAACGCAGCAGGCATCGTGTGTGGAGTAAAAACAAACATAACACATCTTGTCCTATCCTGTTTTGCTCCAGTAGCCATGAATGGGCAGGGAGGACCTGCCGGCTTGTCACCACTCTCATGCCTGGTGACCCTCTGGCTGGTTCCCCTTTGTCACTGTGGCAGAGGGCGGAGATCCTCAGAAAAGGAGTTAGAAATCTTGTTGGGCTTATAATCAGGAAACACGGGGTCCGGGTCCGCCCCTGCTGCTTATTAGCTGGGCAATCTCCTAGTCCCTCAGGGCCTTGTCCCCACCTGCAAACGCTGGTAAGGACAGCTGCATGTTAGGGTTGTTTTGTGGACAACATAAAATATCTGGTACACGAACTGCTCGGCGTTGGGCCTGACGGGGAGTCAGTGCTAACACACGGTATGCATGTATGTATGTATGTAATTCTCACCCGAGGCCATTTTTTTTCCCATTGCTCTTAGAGAGAGAGGAAGGGAGACAGGGAGGGAGGGGGGAGGAGAGGGGGAGAGAGAGAAAGACGGAAGAGAAATATCAACTGGTAGCCTCCCCTATGTGCCCTGACTGGGGATCAAACCCACAACCAAGGTGTGTGAACTGACCAGGGAGCGAAACGGTGACCTTCCGGTTTATGGGATGGCTTTCCAACCAACTGAGCCACGTAGGGTGTATTTAGTTTTATTACTCGGAGAAACAATAATGGACCTCTGTGTGTGTGTGCCCAGACCTGACTCTTCCTCAGGCTGCGATAGGCGACACGGGGTCTCCCCTGTCCGTCCTGCCTGTCAGATCCCTGGCGGGGTGTGGCACCCCCTAGCTGTCCCGCTGTCCCTCCAGCACAGCAATTCTCAACCTGGAACCCATTCTCCGTGGCTCTGGTTAGCCTGACAAACGTCTCCAGGTCATTTGAGCCCTCTCCCTGCCCTCCACTGAGAGGTATCGCTTAGTGCAGTGAGCCTTCAGCCTTGTGCTTGTGAGCGTCTCCCAAGGAGCTCTGTTGGGATACGCAAACTGCTGCCCACTGCGGTTCATCCGGCCCGAGTCACGGTTACCCTGGTGAAGCACTGGTAAGTGTGTTGGACCTTTCCGGGCAATGCTGCCGTACAGGCCTGGTGCATAACGCTGATGCTGTGAAGAGCTGCTGCCTCGTGGGTGTCTCCCTGCTCAGTGCTGTCTCACTAGGCTAGCATAGCCTAAATCTTCTAGCGAAAACAATCATGTCCAGTAGCTTTTCAGAGCTCAGAGGTTCTGACCCTGTGTGTCAAACTAAGGAGGCAGAGCCTTCGGTAATGAGGTATGCATGGCAAGAGGACCTCTGGCTATAAAGGGACTCTGCATATGGCCCTGGACACCATGCATTCCAATATTATGTATTAGCCTAGATCCTTGAAAAGCCTATTTCCACTGCAGGAGAAAAGACTCTACACCCAGGAATTAACCAACCAACTAGCTGCGGGGGAAGCATTTAAAAAAATGTGACAAGAGGTGTCATGCACAGTAGCAGCAGAGATTTCAAGAAAGAAAAGCACTGTGGTCTCTGTTGTCATTTCCCCTTTTGCTACTGGTGCTGAGCGGGGTAGCGCCGGCCTCCCGGTGCTCGGGCCCACGGAGAGCTACCAACAACACGGTGAACCCCCGCTGCCACAGCTTCTGGTTTTTGTCTCTCTCAGTATCTATACTTGATGTTTGGGGCTCCTGGTCGCTGTGCAAATATGAGCGTAACCACATCTCCAACGGAGCCTAGTGCAAAGTTCCCGCCCCTGCCAAGAGACTCGGAGCTGAGATCGGAGCAGGAGATGGGACAGGAGGGACTCAACAGAAGGAGGAAACGCTGCCTGTTCCGCCTTCTTTAGATCATTCAGATAAGAGGTTTAGAGAGACTCCTCAGAATTAAGAGAGGAAGGGGAGTTCCCCCTCCCCCTCCCCAGCAAAGACCGGGAGATAAAGACCCGGGCGAAGTACTTTGAAAGCACTTTAGCTAGACTTGGTGACTACATCAAGCGCAGCAGCCTCAGTAACTGTCATCCACGGGCTGAAGGTGATGCTCAAGGTCTTGAATTACTAGCCCTCAGCCCCCTGCCAGACCTCAGCCTGCGTCCTGCTGGGCTGAGGGGGTCTGTTCAATCCTCAGAACTTCCAGCTGAGGTGACTGCGGACAGAGGTATGAGGTATTCGGTACAGCGGACCCTTAAACAAGAACTTTTCTTTAGGTCTAATCTCTTTTCTGCTGATAGTCCCTACCCTCCTGGGCCTTGCCGGTAAACTGCCTGCTGCTTACTTGAAAACTGCACATAGCAGAATACAATTTATTATAGGACATCCAGCATACAGAGAGAAACAAACAATCCATCCCACTCTGTGCTATTCCTACCAAAGAGAACACAGAAAATCTCTCTCCTCTCTGCCAGCACCTCCCCTCACTAAGAGATGATGTGTGTGCATCTAGACTGGGACTGGGGTGGGGGCTGGAGGCTAGCTTTCCCGCTGCAGCAAGACACAACGGTTCACAGCTGGGCATCCAGGCGGGATCCGGGCCTGGCGGAGCTGCAGGGAGCGTGGGCCTTGCCAGTCCAGGGTGGGTGCCAGTCGTGGGCTCTGAAGCCTGCTGAGCCCTTCCTGATGTGACTTCATCAGACAAAGCCCCGCTCCTGCTGGGGGTAAACACATAACAAAGTGTGTTCTCTAGAAAGGTTTCTGCAACATGACGGTGCAATATAAAATATGGGTCCTGCTCTCCTGAGCTTGGGCCCACCCAAACTTGTCCGGAGATAGAAGGCGCTTTAGGCAAAGGACTGCAGGGGCGGGGGAGAAAGCGCCTGGTGCTGGCGGGTACCTTCCCAGCGGTGACGACGAGTGGCCAGCAGGTGTCAGTGCGCCCTCGCTCTGTCGTGGCGCTAGGCCTTCGCCTCCGGGACCCCTTCCCCACCGCGCGGAGGGGGAGTGGTCCAGACTGCGGATAGCTCCGCGGCTGGGACGACACTTGGTTACCCACCCCCAAGAGCAGCTGTGAACTCCGGCGGAGGCTTCTCCCCGGGAGGCGCTTACCCTTCCGCCCCAGAGGGTGGATCGGAACCTGTGTCTTTTTTTCTCACCAGAACTCCACTCTCCCCGTCCTCCAGGAGCATTTACAGTTGAGGGCGGCCCGGCTCAGGGCGGGACTGCTCTAGGGGCGACCCGTATCGTTGGCTGCTTTTCCAGTTTCGGGTCGAGGTCTCCAACCCCTTTCCTCCAGGACCCAGCTCGCTGGGGACGTTCCGGGTGCCTGCTTCTTTCTGCTGAGCCGGTCCGTAGCTGCTCTGCCGATTCCCAGCAGGGGCCGCTCCCCACTCCCGGGGCACGCTCCTTAAACCCCTCGCTCACCGTACCCGCTTCTCCAAAGGCCAGGTCCCGCTGGGGAGGCAGCACTCCCCCCGGGTCCGGCGCGGGGCGCGGGCGCTGGACCCGCGCAGGGGAGGCGCAAGGGGCGGGGGAGGGTCGGCTTCCCACGTGGGGGCTGACGCCGGCTGCTCAGCAACGCCGGCTTGATCCCGGGGCTATAAAACCAGTCCACGGCGAGCGCCGCGGAGCAGCAGCAGCTCTGGCTTCCGTGCAGACGCCCGGCAGCCGGCGCGCCGCCGCCGGCCACCCCCGGCATTTTCTACGCCCAGCCCGGAGCTCCTGCCCCAACTCACGCTGCCCTCGGACCCTGGCGCGTCCGGTCGCGCTCCGCACCAGCAGCGCGCCAGGCCGACGCCCAAGAGACCCTCTGCCTAGACCGCGGCTCCTGGAGGGCCGATCGCGCACCTGCCCCGGGCCGCCTGAGGACGGGGGCGCCTTGATGCGGCCCCCACACCTCTCACCCCGCCGCCGCCTCCTCCGAGCTCCGCGCGCTGCCCCCCAGCCCCAGCAGGGCACGCAACTTTGGAAGTCCCGCGGCGCTCCGAGAGGCGGCAGAGTCCGCACCCCGGCCCCAGCCCTGGCCCCGGCGGCACCGCCGCGTCTGGGGGAAGCAGGAGAGCTGGTGATCGCTTCGGGGATGTAAGGAGACAAACCTAGGACCCCGAGCCCGCATCAGCACTCCTCGGCTGCCTCCCGGGGTGGGGGCGGGCCCCGCACACGGTAAGACCTCTTGCTTTCGCTCAGGCTCCAGAGTCCAGAGATAGAAATATACATATGTTTTAAATTTCCTGTTATCCTTCCAAGTCCTCAGGCCAGCAGTGATTTTTGTTCTCTCCTCTTGAAGAATAAATCTCTTTCCCATCGGCTCGACCTAATCTCTCCGGCCCCTTAGAATAAAACTTGGCTGCGTTTAGGAGCTGGGAGCCAGAAGGCGCCCACCCCGGGCGTCCGAAGCGCAGACAGGGCGCCGTTCTCCGGGCCCATGGGCCGCTAGCGACCCCCCAGTTCCGGCCCGACCTCCCTGCGGCCTTCCCCCCATGTGAGGAGCCGCGGGGCGAGCGGGGTGCGGGAGGAAGAGGAGGACCCACGGGCTCCGGGCCGGAAGGCAGCTGGCGGCAGGCCCAGGCGAGCGGGCACCCGCGTTCATGTTCCGCCAGGAGAAGCCGCTGGCCGAGGGCAGCTTTGCGCCCATGGGCTCCCTGCAGCCGGACGCTGGCAACGCCACCTGGAATGGGACCGAGGAGCCGGGGGGCGGTGCGCGGGCCACCCCCTACTCTTTGCAGGTGACGCTGACTCTCGTGTGCCTGGCCGGCCTCCTCATGCTGCTCACGGTGTTCGGCAACGTGCTGGTCATCATCGCCGTGTTCACAAGCCGCGCGCTCAAGGCGCCCCAGAACCTCTTTCTGGTGTCTCTGGCCTCGGCCGACATCCTGGTGGCCACGCTCGTCATCCCTTTCTCGCTGGCCAACGAGGTCATGGGCTACTGGTACTTCGGCAAGGCGTGGTGCGAGATCTACCTGGCGCTCGACGTGCTCTTCTGCACCTCGTCCATCGTGCACCTGTGCGCTATCAGCCTGGATCGCTACTGGTCCATCACGCAGGCCATCGAGTACAACCTGAAGCGCACGCCGCGCCGCATCAAGGCCATCATCGTCACCGTGTGGGTCATCTCGGCCGTCATCTCCTTCCCGCCGCTCATCTCCATCGAGAAGAAGGGCGGCGGCGACCAGCAGCAGGCAGAGCCGCGCTGCGAGATCAACGACCAGAAGTGGTACGTCATCTCGTCCTCCATCGGCTCCTTCTTCGCGCCCTGCCTCATCATGATCCTGGTCTACGTGCGCATCTACCAGATCGCCAAGCGCCGCACCCGCGTGCCGCCCAGCCGCCGGGGCCCTGATGCCGCGCCGCAGGGCAGCGCCGCCGAGCGCAGGCCCAACGGCCTGGGCCCCGAGCGCGGCGTGGGGCCCGCGGGGCCAGTAGGCACCGAGGACGAGCCGCTGCCCGCGCAGCTTAACGGCGCCCCCGGGGAGCCCGCACCGGCCGGGCCGCGCGACACCGACGCGCTGGACCTGGAGGAGAGCTCGTCGTCGGAGCACGCGGAGCGGCCCCCGGGACCTCGCAGGTCCGACCACGGCCCGCGGGCCAAGGGCCAGGCCCGGGAGAGCCAGCTGAGGCCCGGGGACAGCCTGCCGCGGCGCGGGCCGGGGGCGCCCGGGCCCGGGGCGCCGGCGTGCGGGCCGGCGGAGGAGCAGCGCGGCGGGGGCGCCAAGGCGTCGCGCTGGCGCGGGCGGCAGAACCGGGAGAAGCGCTTCACGTTCGTGCTGGCCGTGGTCATCGGCGTGTTCGTGGTGTGCTGGTTCCCCTTCTTCTTCACCTACACGCTCACGGCCGTCGGCTGCCCCGTGCCGCGCACGCTCTTCAAGTTCTTCTTCTGGTTCGGCTACTGCAACAGCTCGCTGAACCCGGTCATCTACACCATCTTCAACCACGACTTCCGCCGCGCCTTCAAGAAGATCCTCTGCCGCGGGGACAGGAAGCGGATCGTGTGAGCGCCGAGTCCGCCCCCACCCCCACCCACGGACGGGCTCGCGCGCGGGCCGCCGCGGGGGTCGGAGGGCGCGTCTACGCGGTCCCGCGTTTCCCGGCCCCGTCGTTGCCCCGCGGCCTCCTTGGAGCCGCTCTTCCCTGCCGGGGAGGAGGGCCGGCGGGCAGGGCCACACCCCCCCGTTACCGTCGGGGCCTCTTGGGATCCCCAGCGGTCTTCCAGAGCTCCCGGGCCGCCCCCATCAGTGTTGTTTCCTGAAGGAATTTGCACCTCCCCCGGGCCCGGAGCGTTTCAGAGCAGCTGCCGAGCCCCAGCCGGCGTGGCTCGCGAAGGGTTAACGGAAGGGGTTACCCGCCGGGCCCGGCCGGCTGCCCTTCCCTCCCCGCAACTCTAGTTTTAAACGAAGCTCAGGGCAGCGCAGCCCGCCCTCTCACCCCGCACTGTACATATGCACTGTTTTCGATAGTCCTTGTCGGATGGGGGAGGGGTCCCTCGTGTCCCTTGGCGCTGGTCGTCGGAACCCCGGCTGTCGGGGATGCCCTGCAGGCGGACGCCGGGTGTCCGGTTCGGCCCAGTCCCTCTGCGATGCCAGCCCCTTCCCTGTGTCATCCCTGCGCCCTCTGTGTCCTGTTCACCAGCAACTGGTGACTGTTCCTTTGGGCCTGGGCCTGCTTGAGACTTCCTGAGGCCGGAAAGATTTGCCCGTTTTTCTCCTGTGCCTAACAGCACAATTGCCTTTTCCTTTGTAAATATTGCAGTGATGGAGCAAGGCAGAAGTAATGAACCTTTCCGCCCTGCATCAGCCCGTGTACAAAGCCATGATCCCCCATGTACCCTGGCCCCCCCCCCCCGGCGACTCACTTGAACACCTCCTCTTTCTGGTGTCCCTTCCTTCCCTTCTTTTCTCCCCGGCCACTGCTCGAAGACTATGTATGTTCCTATTTGATGTGTATGTACGTGTGCCTCTCTGTCTCCTGGAGTGCTGACTGTGGGGAAATCTTTCAGCTGCTGTTTTTAGACCCAGAGAAGTGTAAATTATGTGGAAGAGGCAAACCTGGTACGATTTGCCCAAGGTAAACAGATTGCAAGGACAGATGGGCCTGCCAAACTGGACAGTTCTTGCCCCAAGAGCTCTTAGGTATCAAAGTGTTGTCCTCCCCCCACCTCTGTTGTTCTGGCTGCGATCCTGTCACCGATGAATTCCCAAAGTCGACGGAGGAGGGCGGAGACCTCGTGTTTACATCGAGTTTCTACACATTGCAGACAGAGACTCTTTCAGGCCTGCGCTCTTATTTTACTAAAGAAAAATTAATGGCAGCACATGTTGCTAATGACAATGGATTTTTTAATATAAAAAGTTTACAGATCAAATGTAAAATAAATATGAATTAAATGGCCCTGTCTGTTATTTGAGTTTCCAAAGGCTTTGAGACTGAGAACACCTGGAGACTTTATATATATAAATAGAATATATATCATATATATGATATATATGTTTATATATACATTCTTTATGTATTCTTTGAGTTAAAAATACATGTACATTATAAAATACCTTTACAAGTGCAAGCCATAACAAAGCTACCATTTACCAAGTGTTTCTTATGTGCTGGACACTATGATGAGCCCGTTATAGGTTTTGCTTTATTTAATCTTCCCCCAAGCCTATGAGATAGTGACTATTATTATCTCCATTTTATAGGTGAAGAAACTGAGTCTCAAAAGGCAAGTGATTTGCTCGAGGTTAACGAGAGGTAAAAATGCTTTGCATCAAACTTTATCTGGTTCCAGGGTCTATGCTCTCAACCTCAGAGCCTGGCCATGGTCACATCCTCACCACTTTGCAGAATGCAAAGTGAGGTCTCTACACAAAGTGTGCTGTGTACACAAAGTATGGGAAGTATCCCAAGCGTGTAAATAGACACAAAGTGTGCACATACTGCTGGGTGTCTGGACGCCCTAAAGTGCGTACATACTTCACAGTGTGTGTATATATATCCCTTAAAGTGTGGTATATGCACAAAGTGTGGCATATACACCAAAATGTGTATCACACCTTACAGTGTGATAATACACAACATGCGGCGTGTAGCCCATAGTGTGGTGTGTGCACAGAGTGTGGTATAGACACCTTAATAGAACCATGTATTAGTTGGTGGTTTGAATTGTCTCTGGCCAAAAGCAGGGACCCTTCCTATTGCCTTTCTGTAATACCAAGTTCTGCCCTGCTGTGGAGGAGACCTTCAGGTCCTAACCCCACGGTTATGGTTAAGGCGCCTTGAAGTGGGAAGGGCCTTAGAAATCCCAGAGTCCAACCCCTCATTTTCCAAGAGGAGGGACTGGCACAGGGCCCCGCAGCTCTGGGTGGCGCGTCTCTGGACCCACCGGGCCTCGTCAGCTGGGGAGCAGCTGGAGCGGTTCTGTGCGCGTGTGCGACACACAGATGCTGCTGATGGGGAGCTGTTCACCCAGGAGCCACAGGTCACGGTTTGGGGAAGGACAGACTCCGGGAGGCAGACACATGTGCAGACTAACCCTCTGGGCAGCACTCGTCTTCCTTAACCTCTTTAGCGAGGGCCAGGGAGTGTGCGCAGGGGTGGGAGGGTGGGGGGCCCTGAGAAGTCATCTGGGCTCTGAGGGGCCTGGGGGAGGGAAGGCGTCAGTTCTGAGAGGTTTCGTAGCACATGCGAGCTTGCAGACAGGAGGGCGGCAGGCTGCCGGCTCCAGTGACCCTTGCCTGGGGCCTTCACACACCCTGGCGTTTGTCGCCAAGTCTGGCTGCCTGGCCTGGTGCTGAGCCCTGCTCCCTGCCCCCGTGCCAGCCTCTCTCTCCCTCCCACTCCAGGCACCCATCGCCCCAAAGGCAAACAGAGCCAGAACAATGGGCCAGCCTGGCAGGCCCCCAGGAACTGGGCTACACGTCTCAGACACAGAGGCAGATCCAAATGTGTTTGCTGTTGACTCTTTTCTGTTCTGTCTGCTGGTCTGTGTTTGTCTTGCCTTTCACCAGCAGAGGCCCTGCACCCTGGGGAAAGGGAAAGTGTGGGCAGTGGTGCACCATAGGGCAGAGGAGCCTCAGAGACGGAGGAATCCTGGGCGGTGTAGGGGAGAGAGAGCTGGAGAAAAGTGGGCATCACTGTTCATTGCAGAGGGCCCAGGCAATATTCTGCAAAGGCCTGGGGTCGGGAGGGGGTTGGAGGAGGAGAAATGGGCTTCTTGGAGATCTTAGCCTAAAGATCAGGAAGTGAGACTGTGTCTCTGCACAGCTTCCTGTCCACATCTGACCCCAATTATCTTGGTCCAAAGGGTCTGTCCTCATGATGGAACCTCATACTTCATGTGGCTTTGGTTAGCATGTCAAAAGCCACTGGCTTTTGGGTCTAACCTGTATGTTGCCAGTTTCACTCCTACAAGGTACCTTGAGTTGGGGGGTCGGGTAATGCCCTCGCTTGAGCCTGGGAGCAAGACTGTTCTACTGCTTCTGTGCTATAGGGTTAGGGCTGCAGGAGAGAATGATAAAAAGGGGCCTTTGGTTTTCCCCTCCTTATGACTCTATCATTGAATCAGAGTTTGAGAGCAAGAAGTTTCTACACACACCCTCCACTCCTATACTGTGCTGTTGAGGGGACCAAGACCCTGAAAAGGCATCTGGTTATGTGACATCCCAGGGAACCCCGAGTCCACTGCTCCATGGCTCTCTGTCTGATGCCACCATATTCAACAGGAATTCTGTTTTGCTGTTGGATTTGGCGAGTGGCTGATCAACCCCAGAGAAGCACCGTGCCGGGCACTGTGAGGCAGCTCTCTGCCTTTCGTGCATGGGCTCCGGGGAGACCAGCAACGGCCCTAAGAGAGTAGGGCCTGCCCTGTGCTCTGGAAGCACTAAGGCTGCAGGGGAGACAGGATGCGCCTGTGTGAAGCATCCAGTAGCTGTACAACCGTGACGGTGTGGCGGGGGTTAGTGGATGCTGCGTGCCCGCTGAAGCTCATGGGCACCTGTCTGTGCTGTGAGTGTGAGGTGGGGGAGAGGTCGCCGTGGCTGGGAGCTCGGGGAGTAGGATGTGGGAGCTGGGGTGACCGGACTGTATCTGAGGGAGGGGGCCAGCGAGGCAGCTGTGGTTCTAGCTGCTGGGCCCTTTGGAAACATTGCAAGGCCTAGGTCAGGCCTCAGCCTTCGTTTCTCCAGCCCGGCCCATGGGAATAGCAAGGTGAGCCCCTGTTCCCACTTGAGGACCCCCATCCTACCAGGAAACCTGCCTCCCTGACTCGAGTAGAGTAGAAGATCCAAGTACCAGGGCTCCTGCCTGCCCTTGTCAGAGCCAGGGCCCGACACCAGGCCTTGCATCCCCGCGGTGGCCCGAGGGCCTGGGATGCAGGACGGGCTGCCTTCCTCAGCAGAGGGTGTGCCTGCACAGAGGGGAGCCGCGCGGAGCCGCCAGTGCAATCCCAAACTCCAGGATTGGTTTGAAAACAGCATCGATCACTTCGATCACCAGAAATCCTGGGGTTTGGAGTGAAACACAACAAAGGGAACAGGGCCGGTCGGAAGGAGCCTGGACCTGAGAATCAGGAGGCCTGGGTTCAAGCCCAGCTTTGGCTTCCACTGGAGAGGTGTGTGGCCTCGGGCCAGGCTCTTTCTGAGCCCCCGGGACTTCATTTAGCAAAAGTGAAAGTGGCCAGTCTGGATCGCTGGTACTCACAGCTGTGATCTGTAGAGTTTGTTAACGACAAAATCGGTCTCGGTCTCTCTCCCACGCACATATTTATCGTCTACCATTTACCTGTCTGTCTGTCTGTCTACATCATCTACCCGATGAATTGCCGGTGAAGCGAACTCTAACAGGTACCTTTTCTTCAGGGCTTTTCAGAGCCTTGAGCATGCCAGTGTGGACGGTGATTCTCGGGGGTGGGCGGTGGCCATGGCGAGCTATGCTCCTCAGACTCCCTGGACCACACTTTTATAAAGCATCTCAGGGATGCATATTTGCTGGGTCACTGGCTGGGTCATACTAGGCTGCAGGGTCTCACGGGGGTTTTCTCTTGACCGGTTCTGAGATTCAGTGAAATGTCAGCCCTGCTCTCTCCTCTGCCCCCTGTCCCTCAGGCGAAGCGCGCTGGGCAGGGGCCAAGCCGTGTGTTCTTCTTGGGCACGGCTGACTCTAAGAGCCGCTGGCCTCATTGACACTCGGGGTTGTGATGCACTTGTTTTGAGTATGGCCAGACTGCGCACACACGGACGCACAGGCACATGGACACACAGGCACACGCCGGCACAGAGGCACAGGTAGGCACGTGCACACCCTCCTCCCGGCCAGCTGGTGAGTCAGGTGAGGGAGAGCCCCAGGGAACCGTGTGGCTGGCTCTCAGCCAAAGCTGTCTAGGCCGTCTTCATGCAGGTGGCTCAGGCTCAGCCTAGGAGGCCAAGAAGCAGACCCTGGGCTGCCTGGCCGTGATGACCCATGAGGCTGGGGTCTAGGTCGGCAGTGGTGGGGACTGGCCCAGGTCAATGATCCCGCCTGTGCCCTGGGCACACTGAGAGTTCTGCTGCCCCTTACTCAGCATCTGTGGGCACCCTTTGGCCTTCCTTAGCAGCAGAGACACACCTTAAGGATTCTTTTTTATGCCTTGGCCCCAGAGGAGGCACTGAGAGTTTTAACAGATGATAAATTCCTCCCTCCCTCCCTCTCTTCTTTCTTTCTTTCTTTCTTTCTTTCTTTCTTTCTTTCTTTCTTTCTTTCTTTCTTTCTTTCTTTCTTTCTTTCTTTCTTTCTTTCTTTCTTTCTTTCTTTCTTCCTTCCTTCCTTCCTTCCTTCCTTCCTTCCCTTCCTTCCTTCCTTCCTTCCTTCCTTCCTTCCTTCCTTCCTTCCTTCCTTCCTTCCTCCCCTCCTTCCCTCCTTCCCTCCTTCCTTCCTTCCTTAGTGGTTTTTTTGACCTGTCTTCAAACTAATATCACTGATACTGCACTCTTTGTGTTGGGGCTGGAGCGGGGAACGAGACAATTAGGATCTTCACCCCGAGGAGCTTCTTCATGTGAGGGGAGACGGATGTAGGTGGGCGCCAGGGAGGGGAAGCAGGTTGATGAGGCTGGTACAGTGGGTGACGGGGACTCACTGTTGAGGAGCCCGACCTGGGCTCAGGCGTCAGAGGACGGCCCCTTCTCCAGAGGTGACAGCTAAAGGAGAGCTGAGGGATGGGCAGGAATAGGTCCAGAAAAGGACTGGGGGGAAATGGGAAGCATCCTATGTTCGAACAGCTACACGAAACCCCCTCTAGTGGGATTGGACTGTGAACGGCTGAAAGGGAAGCAGAGAGCCTGGGAGAGGTGGGGCCGGGCCGTGCAGCCAGTTGGAAAGATTTATCTTGAGGACAATGGGAACCCCAGTTGGGGCAGGCGGCG